GGGGGGGGGGGGGGGGGGGATTACTTGCGAGGAAGGGGGAGGTCGAATGGGAATGAAAAAAAAAAATAGTGAGCAATAAAAACTACATGTCGTTGAGGGGTGACAAGGTTCCATTAAAACGTGTCAGCGCCATGCCTTCCCCAATCGATCGCGGAAAACGTGAGCTGGATAGCAAGAGTACTGTAGGAAAGAGATTCAGCTGCCTTTCCCCTGCTGTAGATATAACCAAAGACCTTGTTGAGGCGACTTTTGGGTATTCACCCAAGAAAAGCATCATTGGACTACCCTGAGGCGTGGATTCACCATTCTCCCTCTCTCTTATCGACGAAAGATCGTTTAGGGTGTTTACAGGGTGTCTCGTTTCTCGTTATGGAACTTTATGGAATGGAGATTCAAACTTTTTTTTAATGGGCTTCAAATCATTGGCCGCTTTCTATTCCTTCTGCACTATTCTTAAGTGTGTTTTTCCAGATAGAATATGTACACCATCCTCACGATGTGCGCTCAGAACATAGGTTTGAAAAGTATTTCTATCGAATGTGTTCATGTGGAGGAAGAAAAAAATAATAACAAAAGAAGGCGTGTATACTGATGGATTCGCCTTGTTGTTGTCGCTTGACAGGTCAGCTTGGAGGAGACGATGATGGAGGGGACAAAGACAAAGACGAGGAAGCGGAAAGGGAGCGATTGGAGGCCATCAGGGAAGCCGAGGAGAGACGGAAAGACAAGCATCGAAAGATGGAGGAAGAGAGGGAAAAGATGCGACAAGACATCAGGGACAAGGTAAGCTTGGCCCGCGGCACGGATTCGCGAATAGCCAAAGCAGATAGTGAGTCTGCCTCTGCATTAAGGGTCGCTGCATCTCTTACGTCATACATCCCATGCACCGAACGAATCCTTTCTGCTTGGTTCACGATAGCGGTGGTAATGTTGAGTGGCGAATGCAGGATAGGATTCCTGGAGCTCCATCTCTCTCCTCAATTGCATCATGTCAAGCGGCGTTGCCTGTAGAATCGTCGCGTATCATTGTATGTGCAATGGACATCGCCACGTCATCGCTCTCCATCCAGCAGAGAGGGAGACAAGCATGCTTGCAACGTTTATGCCGTTGTCTGGAACTGGGCGTCTGGTACCGGTTTACTAGACCAGACGGCGCGACACGACACGCCGGTCTGTGAATACAACAGCCTCTGGTCATCGATGTAACTCATGATGTTCCGACTAAAATGTGGACTCTGGGAAGGACAGAACGATGTCTGTCTTTGACTATGCTGAGAGGCCTTCAGAATGTGAACTTAAAGCCTCCACAATTGTACATGCCTAGGTTTTCTTCTTTCCATGATGCCGAGTGCGCCTTTTACCCTGTCTAGGCATGGCATCATCTTTCGATGACTTACCCTCATCCCTTTTATGGCCACTTTGTGTTCGTGCTCCAAAGGCCTCAGACACCATTCAAGCAGATACGTGAGCGGTTTCCAAAAAGCGCACAAGCCTGAAAAATATTCATATTGTACCTCAGTAATAGTTCTGTGTATCGACCCTGCAGGATAATGGCACGATAGCACACACATTCGTGTAATACTGTGATAGCGACGACGTCAAAGGAATTCTAAAACATTCATACCGATTTCCAGCCCTCCACCTTCAACCTTTTCGGCACAGACCATTCGCAGAAAAAATGCATTCCTTGAATGGCCATGACGTCGGAAGGATTCAAGAGGCAGGGTGATACCCCGCGTCAAACCATTTCGGTTCAGGGCGATGACGCCGACACTTACACACTTGGCAGAGGCAGATGGATACACACAAACACATTTCATCCATTAGTGTCACCCTGAATTGAAACCGTTCTGGTGTGCATGAATTAAAAGGATTTCAAGTAAGGGGATCGCAGTTTCCTGCCCTTCTGCCAATTTATTTTATAGCTTATATGAGCATTACCTCTTCAAATTACCTAAATATCTGTGTGTGTTTAAGCATGTAAATATCTGTTTCTTATAAAAAATTTTTATTTTCAATGTGTCATATGTATAAGTTATTTTAAAAAACCTTTTTCTTTGTAAAACTGATCCACAAGGGAAAAGCAGTGGAAGAAAAAGCTATCTTTAAATGAAGCGCCTACATCAACAATACGAAGGCTTGCTATCATTCCTTCCATTTTTTGCGGCTAAACGAGTCATGCGCCTCGAGATCGTCATCTTGTTAGACATTGTTATTTTAATCATGATGACAATAATCGAGAGATGATCATGCCAGATGGCTTTTAGCTGTTGGAAAAAAAAACACCGCACATATATCCTTCATAGGAATATCATTGATCGATTTTCGTATTTTCTTCTCATTAATCTTATTCTCCCTTCTTTGGATTGTCCTTGATCAATAGTATAACCTGAAGAAGCCGGAGGAGCCAAAGGAACCTGACCCGACACCAGACAATCCTTTGAACAGGAAAAAGAAAACGCCTGAGGAATTAGCTCGTGAAGCAGAGCTCGAGGACGAGGACGAATTGACGAGTGAGTTTCCTTTCTGCTGCACACCATTAAGTCCCCCATCAACCTGTTAAACCAGGGGTGTCAAACTGGCGGCCCGCGGGCCGGATCCGTTAGTTTAGTTCATTTCGTCCGGCCCGCAAAGCCCACTTCACTAGTTGGTTTTGGAAAAGCGCTGAGATTTCAACCAGTTTGCATTCAAAATTTGGCGAAAGATTTGTTAGTGTGGCCCCCAACCATCCCTGAAGGGCTCCATCCGGCCTCCAGCTTAATCGAATTTGACACCCCTCTGTTAAGCCATTCTGCCCTGCATATTGAAGCGGTATACAGGCATGTTTAATGCCTGTAATGAGGTGAAAAATAAACATGGCCTGGCTTGGCAACCATTTCCTGTTACCTCTCTATTTCAAGCCAGGGGAATGGAGTTTCGATAATTCATAGCCACACGACGGATTCTTCTTGATTAAATATTAATAGCGAGAGGGAAGAGATCAGGATAGAGTTCATCCTTGTCTCCATGTACACACTGGGCGACATGCACGGGATCGATTCAACTTCACTGGATTTACTTTCAAAGTGGAAATAGTTTCAACTCCGAGATGGGAGGAATGTGCTTACAGAGGGCCCAACTGGTTACTAACCCTAGTTTGGTAACGAACGTAGATATACAATAGGAAAAATAATCATATTGCTAGCAGAAAATCAACAAACAAGGGATAAATAAGTTATCAGAAAATAAATCACCAGTCAGATGCCAAAGTAGAACTCGAAAGAAGGTAAAAATCAACCCCATAAAAAAATAATTTGCAACAGAAATCCATCAAGAACTTAATCAACTTGGTGCATGTCTAGGAGTGAAGGAAAGAACCGAGAACATTGGAGGCTTCATCATGGTGCCAGGACCGAGGGGATCGCAGTTTCCTGCCCTTCTGCCAATTTATTTTATAGCTTATATGAGCATTACCTCTTCAAATTACCTAAATATCTGTGTGTGTTTAAGCATGTAAATATCTGTTTCTTATAAAAAATTTTATTATCAATTTTTGAAGTAGACTCCCTCAGTACCATTTTTTTTTAAAACCAGACATATTCCCAAACATTTTCCGCTCTCACGAAGCGGAGACATAGAAAACTTTTATGCCAGCGATATTTCTGGTTGGCAACGGTCCAAGGAGGATGGCCTCGGTTCTCCTTTTTAATGTTTCACTGGGTCCCCCTCAATCCAGACCATCCTCCATAGATATCCTTAGCGTTCTTTCTCCTCTCTTTTGCGATGTCGACAGTGAAAGAGGGGGGGTGAGAACCCCTTGGGATCTCAGCCGGCAGGGCTTTTACGTCAAAGAGTCACTCTTCACGGTAAAAAAAAATCTTTTTTTCTTTCAGAGTTGAAGCACACACTGGAGACGCAAGTGAACGAGATCAGACAGCAGATAGAGGGAAAGTGTGCATTGCAGTGACAGGCCGTCTCAATCTCGTAGCTGCAACTATGCAAACCAAGTCAAGCAAAACTAGGGAGGGAGCAAGGAGTGAAAGGGACAAGAAGAGACGCCTGATAATGACTCGTTATTAGACTCGTTTTTGAGTGTATACATGCAGTGGGCTATATATGGTTCAGTTAGTGGATGGAGGGACAGTCTCCACCACCAAATGAGAGACTCTTTCCAAAGCCATAATATTGTGATAGTCGTCAGTGATCCATACTTTATATTTTTTATGTTGTCGGCGAGAGAAAACGCTTGCTTTGCATCTTGTCGGGTTTTTCATCAAGGACGGCACGAGACGGGCCCGATCCATCGCGGATCCAGGACCCTTCCCTTTTTCCCTTCGGTTTGTGAGGTGTAGGAGATGGCATGCCCCTCCCCCTCCTTCTTCGGCCCCCTGCAAGGGGTGTGTTTCTACAGGGGTGACGGGAAGTCCCAGTCCCTGGGCGCTTCCCCGGTCGTCTGGGTGTGTCTATAGTCTCTCAGTCTAGATGCAATCGTCTTTCATTCTTGCAAGGGATCCTCTCTCGTCTCGTTAGCCTAGACACGGCTGGTTCTCGTTGTTATCTTCAAACAAAAAATGTTACACTCTCATTCTCAGAGGGACCTCGCTCGTTAGCTTCTGCTTTCTCTCTCTATCTCTCCCCTCTCTCTCTTCGAAAAGCCTCTTTCCTACAACACCTTTTCTCCCTCGAACGCCTTCTTAGAGCTTCCTCTAAAGAATAAGGAAATAAAAAGCTCTCTGTCGCGAAGCGAGTCGGCTGTTACAACGGGAATCCTGGTCGTTATTAAAACCATTGTTTCTCTTGTTCTTCGCACGCCTCTGCTGTATATATATATTGATGGACTTTATTGGTTAGCCTGTTGAAAATGGACAGTTTCTACTGGAAGTCGTCGTTGAATTTAGTCAATATGCTACTCGTTTTAGCGATAGAAGAGAAAGGAAGGAAAGAACGTGAATTTCGCTACGCCTGTTTCAAGAAAAAGTTCGCAGGTTTCTTCGTTTCTTATCTGTGCTGCCTAAGTGAGAATATAGAGCAGCGAAGCGCTGGGATTTCTTATGATGTCGTGTCTTCGTAGATGTACACGTAACGGGGCATTCGCACATGGCAAAAAAAAAACTACGCTTCTGATGCATCCTCTTTATCTTCATCTGTATCTCGACATCTCCGTCTTTTTCACTTCTCGGCCAAGAAGCATAAATAAGGTCAAAGGAAAGTCTGCTCGTATCTTCGCCATATATATTTGTGGGTTTTCTTTCTCCCCGCCGTTGCTGGACATCAACGAAAAACAAAATGGATTAGCTTTTCCCGGTGACAGCATGTACCCCCAATATCATATTCCTGTTCCATTCCTCTGCTTTCATATTCCTTCCCTTTTCAGAAAAAAATGAAAACAAAAAGGCATTGGTTGATTTCAACTTTATGTTCAGTCACAGTTCAGTCGAGGGTCAGTTGACGTCCTGGTTATAGTCATGTTCATGGTTCCACTATCGTCGACGGATTTGGAAATTTGTGTTCAAACTGTAATTCTTCGATGTCTCGTCGACCATAATAGAGACAATGTTCAACATGTGGAACATTTCAGAGACGTTTCCTATCTGGTCGCCGTTGACTTCGGTTGAGGTTACAAGAGGGCACACTGGATGGGGAATCTCAACCTTCTGAGGTTTGGATTCTTCATTCAAGACAGTTCATTCGCAATGCCTCGATGGTCAGAGGTGCGAACCACGTGGGAGCGAGTAGGGACTCCCTGTCGAACATACTCGTAGAAGAACCATGACTGGAATAAGGATTTCAAAATCGCAGTTTCAGCTCGGTCCAGCCGTTGTCTCTGTTACCAGAAGTTACCTACGACTGGGGCAATGGAACGATCGCAGTTGAACCTAAACTGGACAGCCTCTGAACATGAAGTTTAAACAAACCATTTCTTTTTCTCTCTGTCTCTGTCTATCTCTCCTCCTGTCATTCCTTCCTTCACTCTGCCTTTCCTATTGGGACTATCGAACCAGTGTTGTGCTGAATACATGGTGACTATATTGTACATTGAGTGTTACTGTTGACTACTACATCGGGGACTGTGCAACATTTCTTAGTCCGGAGCGGAATTCACAGGGCAGCACTATGTAAACGGAATAAACAACTTTTACTACACATCTCGCATTTTGTCTTGCTTTGTGCATTCGACCCTTCATGCACAGAAAGAAGTTGGGGCCTCGAGAAGAGAGCATGAAAGGATGGAGGGCTTAGTGTGTTCCTCCTATTCCAAGCGAATGGACTGTGGTCCAAAGGACAGAAAGGGAAGGAAAAGGAAAAAGGTGAAATCATCGAGGAGAAATGGAATACATAAAAAAAGACCCTCACTCATCCTTTCCACGCGATGTCGTTCATTGTCCTCTCCGATCTCTTGTCAAGAATAAGATCAAGCATTGGAAGTCTTACCTTCAGCCAAGTTCCTGTTCACTCCACATGTGGTCAAGTCATGAAAGTTGCTTGGCCTTAAGTTTGTATTACAGTGAAGTTATACTTGTTGAAGTTATTGATTTATCATACCAGTATATTAAGGGGCGTCCGGTAGAATATCCCATAGTTAATACTTCAACGTATTTCTAGGCTTAGCTCAGTCGTAGGTGTCCCTAAATGGTACACTCTTGTGCTAAGTTTAAATATACCTCATGTGTCCGTCAACACTCCCCTGAAAGTATTTTTCAAAACTACCAGTGCTAACACAGTATTTGAAACTGAAATCAGAAACGGTGTTTCTGATTTCAGTTTCGAATACTGAGTTTCAAATACTGCCCAGGTGATTCACAGAAAGCGATCAGGTATTTTTTTGTACGAGCTGCTTTTTCAATACAGAACCACTTCAGTACTCGTTCAGTCTTGGGCACTCGAAAAATGCAAAATGTTTGGCTAAAGCAATAATTTTCAGGCTTTTCTGAACTTTTTGGCACTTTCCATTCTCTTCACACTTCTCATTGTTAATAACCTTGCCTTATGGTTTAGACGTGTTCGTTAACGAGGGTTCAGAGTGCCGTCATACCATGAAGATGATTTATTGATATTAAGTTTGAATGCGGATGGCATGGATATATATCTCATCAATTCACTTCTTTCTCTGACCTGAATACAAAATGTGAATGCGAGAGGTGCAGTGAGGGTTCAAAGAAGGATGGCACGATTCAATACCTCTGGCAAAGGCACCTATTCCACTGGCCAAATAAACTTTGTGAATTTAATCTAGACCATTTGCCTCCGCAAGTGAATCTTGTTTCCTTTCCTGTAGTCTTATTTACATGGTTTTCCTTGGAGACATGATTCCAACTGCTTGCATAGCCCTAATAGTTTCCCTTTCACGAGTGTCTTGTGCTATTGCGCTGAAGGCTTTTCAGTGCCTGCCGTGTCAGGCTGCACCATTGCAATCGTCGGTGGTGAGTCACGAGGACAGCAAAAAATCGAGAGCTGAACTGCAAATTTCTTGCTGTACCCTGTCGTCAAAGAACAACTATGAAGTGAAGGAGAATCTTGCCCACCAGGGCATACTCCATTTCCCGGAAATTAGGAAGAGGAAGACGGAGGAATTGGAATTTCAATTTTCTAGATATCCCTCATTATTCATTTATCTCCCTCCAGATCTCTTAAGGATTTTAGGTTTAGTTAGGGGTTCATATTCTCCAAGGCTACGCGCAATATCCGAGATTTGGGGCTCATCCAAGACCCTTTCATTTCAAAACGTCTCGGCAAGGAAAAAGGAGAACACCACATAATTGATGAATGGCTGATGGCAGATACTAAGGGGCTGGGGGGGAGGGGGAAGCACACGGGGAAAAGAGCGAAACCCAGAATTCTGCGGGGGAAATCCGTCTGACATAAGCATTCCTTCCATTCGTCTTTGTCACTAACGGTTTGAGGCGTCCCTAGGCAGAACGCACGCCATCCCTTTCCCTCCATTCCCCTGCTCCCCATCTCTCCCCTCCCTCCTACTCCCCACCCTCCGCCCCCCTTCCCCTCTTCCCCATCCCTCGGCACATTCTCGTGAAGAAGAATTGGGGATGGAGGGGGGGGGGGGGGGGGGGGGGGGGGGGGGGGGAGAGGAAGGAGCGTAGGACAGCGGTTCCCAAACTGTGGGTCGCGAGAGGCCTCAAGGTGGGTCACGTACATTTTCGCGGTATAAAAAATCACTATATCCGCATCCGCCCAGGATAAAACATGCCCTGCAGGAAAGGTCGATCAGTTTTCTTTGCATGATAATTACTTTGAAAATACCTCGTTCTGGATTCCAGTGGGTCGCGAAATTTTTTGCACGTCAACATGTAGGTCGCGATTCAAAGAAGTCTGGGAACCGCTGGCGTAGGAGACCTACGATAAAATCTAATAGTTTCAGTGAATTTTTATTTAATTTTTATGAAAACCATGTGACAGCGGCCTGACTCACTCACCCCACTCACGAGACGATCCATGCGCGCGACGGCGCACCTTCTTCACTTATTCGGTAATCTTACCCTAGTTACAGGTGACTAACGCTCGATTACCACCGAGCGCATATTATTACTATTATAAAAAGCGAAAGGAGAACAAATTCAAGGAGGTTGGGGATGTAATACTGCACAGGGTGTTCGTATTTAAATGCAACATAGGGACATTTTTGCCGCCTGTTCGTGGAGTTCAGCGCGTGTCCTATATAGCTCACCGGGTTGCATATCTGGAAGGATGAAACACGTGCACTGGTATATATGGTGCATGTGAAGGATGAAACACGATGAATCACCTGCACTGATGTATTTCCTTGCAGATGGGCAACCTGGTGGGCCTATAGTGTTCGCCAACCTCCACCGCCAGGCGGCAAAGTATTCCCCATCTTGCGTTTAAATACGAACACCGTGTAGATATTTTTTACACTTCCACTAGGTACTATTTATAAAAGGGGACTGAATTTCAAAGAAAAAAGGTAGGCAATTGCCTACGATTTTCAGAGCCTAAGGAAGTCCAAAACCTATTGCGCGCTCCTTTCGTTATTAGTATGTAGCTAGGCATCTTATATTCCGTCCAGCGAATAATTTTATCTCCCAAGCAATCCACTCATCTCAATGAAAAAAAAACGAAGGCCTTCCAAGAGATGATGCAGACCTTTTTCTCCAAGCACAGATGTCAAGGAGTCAAAGAGAGGAGCAGACGCAATTTACCACAGACAGAGAGCTTCCTCCACGAATTAATGAGAAGTGGAAGCGCATTTTCCTCGAAGTTCCTCCTCCCAAATATCGGGAACGTGCTGGCATGCGAATTCGTTCGGATGACGAAGATCCCAGCCTCATCACGTGAGCTACGATGAAAGCGATCGGGGAAGAAAACCCGCGAAGTGTCAAATCTCCGCGTATAAATCCTCTTTTCCCCAGGAAATTTCTCCTCCATACGCAGCGTACCCTGATGGCGTATTCCATAAATCCCGAGGGCTGATTTTTCGAGATATTTTCTTTGCATTCGAGTGAAAGGTAATGAAGCCTGACGAGGAGAAACGACGCCCCTCCTTCTGGTCCATGATCTCGTTTCCTTCCGATGAAATATGTGGAGCGTCAACGAAGCACGGCCGAGAAGACGGAGCTGCTCCGACGCGGAATTGACAAGAAAATTGGTCTCGTGACACATTTGGGCCGTTCGCACTCGATACTCGTTAATGCAATGACCGGAAGCAATTAGTCGGCGGAAGGCTTCCTTTCCTGACTCTCCGAGCATCTAAGTGCTCGTCTCTCCAGAAAACTCATCAGAAAATATTCTTCCTTTGAGATTTATGAGATGGGATTTACCTGGGAGAGCAGGGATGAAAACGGCATCAATTTTAAGACAAGGCTCTCTCGTGTGGAGTGATTTCCGAGACGATCCGTGATCCTGGCATCGTCTGGGGAATCATCACTCATCACTTCCTTTAGACTGCAGCTGTTATTAATTCCTTCATATACAGGGTGAGCCATAAGAAAACTAAGTTTGAAAAAACACAAACCATCAAACAAGTAGCCGAGCGTAAGCAGTATCTAATTAGGATTTTTACGACAGGATTCGGAAATTCGTGAGGTTCCTTAGAACGATCCCTAACCCATAATCGGTGTCCGATCTGGCATTTTCCCATTTTACCCTGTGTATCGTTTTCCGGACTTGGTCTGGATAACGTCTGGTGATCCAAGATGCTTGAATACGTGCGCAAGGAAATCAAGATTCCATTCATTTGGAAAGATTGGGCGCTGAAAAAGCGTGTTCTTTCGGTCACGAATAGGTTAAGTCCAGTTTGGTCACAGTTCCAAAGCATCACAGAATTGAGACAGACCAGGTTTTTTTTTATGGGGGGGGGCTTGGGTTCCACTGTAGTCGTCGCACATGCTTGGGACGGCCAAAACGGATGAGACGGTCGTCTGCAGAATTTTCCTTTCCTCCTTATTCGAATGCGGAGAACGTAGTCCATTTCGGAATCAGTCGTCCCGCAACAATTCAGCCTCCTTTAATCGTTTTCTTAAGCATGTCGAGGGTGACTAGCGCAGATAAGACTTCATGAAGGAACATTCCACGTTCGACTCTTTCTTCCCGAGCTACATCTACGCCAGAGAGGAAATATGGCTTCACCTTTTCTCCTAATAGGTGTACCAAAAAACTCTCGGAACCCGTGGAGCCAAGTTACGGGATTTTGCACAGTGGTAGCTGACAGGGCATATAAGAGTTTTGTTTTTGCGTGCTCATTGGTGAAGTCGAAATCATGTGTCGATTCTTTACTGGGGTTTGTCGTAGCCTAAATTCCCGGCAACTATGTGAATTTCTCCGGTAATATTTCGCAAAGACTCGCTCTAGCTCTGGAGCAGCAAATGGGCAAATGAGAGTCTCACTTGAAAATGGTCAATGGTAAAACCATAGTAAGCGCTCAAGTGAGGCAGAGCAGCTGCAGCCCTAGATGTCCGAAGTGGCGATTGGAATGGGGAGATTGCATTTCATTCCCTTTATTCTTGGAACGTTCCAAAGCGATTTATTGCGATTGTCAAGAGCAGGAACCCTGCCTTTGTTCAGGGTCGTCAGCTTAAAAGATCAATGGATAGTGATTGTCAGGTACACATGACAATCACCATCTTAAGTTGGGGCAACAGCCAGTCTAGTGATATCTAACCTGAAGTAATATTCAACCTGTCAGCACAGTGACGCTACTAATGTTACTAACGTTGATACTAATGAGATTTTCATGGAGCATTGCTGTAATCTAATATACAATATACTGTAGACGATCGTGAGTGACGGACACTAATTCTAATCTCATGTTCCAGATATGGTAAAATGATAGGGGTTCAGATAGGAGATGCATGCCGCGAGGGCACCTCTTTTTGGAGAAGGCGTTTTCCAATCTTTTTTTTATATTTTATTTTTGCTCCAGCGAATCGGGCAGAAATACAGGGGGTCCCAAAATGATTGGCGCATAAAAAAATAATTTCTTGTAAAGTAATACATATAAAAATGAATTCTTTTCACCAATGCATGAAGCAAAGTCAAGAGTTTTTTCCTATTCACACAATTGCTCCTTGGTAAACTTCATCAGCACCATTAGTCATACGTAAAATGTCGAGTTGATATTCAATTTCCCGCCAGGTATTCCTCAATATGTCGGCAGTAACTGTGGCAAGTGCATCACAGATTCGGCGCCTGAGTTCAGTAGCATCTGACGTTTTGGTTCTGAAGACAACGTCCTTGATATACCCCCACAAAAATAAATCAAGTGGGGTAATGTCAAGTGATTGCAGCAGTCAAGGGATATGGCATGATATATATAGGGTGGTAAAAAAAAAAAGCTCTACCGTTTTCTATGGGAGAAACACGGTTTCATAAATGCAGCAAAAATCACTCTCGGTCACCCGGTCAACAAAAGCGCCCTCTATAGGGATACAGCGCCATCTTGCGGAAGTGAAAAAACTCTCAGACTCATGAACCTCCCTGTCAAGTATCAGCTGGATCCAACTGTCCCTTGGAACGTTAAAGTTGAAAAGTTCATTGAATTCTGAGACGGTCGAGCACAAGTAATCACTTCACTTGAGGTGGAATGATCCACCTCTAAACACCTTTAATTCACTTCTAAATGGGCATTGCACGACTTAGACAGGGTTGCTGAAAAAGCTGGCAAGCATTTCAACACTTTGTAACTGTCAAATATAGATCGCATATCCAATGCAATTTTTTTTGCTGCACATATGAAACTGTTTCTCCCATAGAAAACGGTAGAGCGTTTTTTTTTTAACCACCCTATATAATTATTTCAAGGTTCCTTTTTCGCTCCAAGAAAAGGGGAAGAGAGCCGAAGTTAGACTCATAAGAAATCATCCGAGTAATGATCTAAATAAAAATCTCAGTTTTGATGCGCATCCTCTCAGGGCACACATTTTGAAAGTTACATTTCGTAGAATATTATTGTCACACCGAAACGGGAATTTATTGAAAGCTGAAATTCGGTATACAAGTATTTCTCTGGGTACTGACTTAGGTACAATGTTTACTTTTCAGGTTTATCCCCCCCCCCCAACAATACTTCTTTCGGGGAAGCTTATCTCCAGAAATGTTCGTAAAGTATTGTTTAACAAAACTGGCGAACATGGGAGGCGAAAATTTGTAACCCCAGTTTTTTTCTCAGGAAATTGATTTTAAGATGAACGTTACTTGTGAAGAAGGTCCCCTCAGGGCACATCTTTTGAGCATGGAGGAAAGTATTTATAATTTTTTTTTGTCCTGGCGAAACAGGAAGGTGAAATTTAGTTCTCAAGTAATTAACAAGATACTAATTTCATGAAATTAGTATCTTGAATTATAAATTAATTTTTATGGTTGCATCGCTTCAGGACACAATTTTCGAGAGACGCATTTTGCAGGCATCTTTTCGCTTAATCAAAACGAGCAAATATATAAAACTGAAATTTGGTATACAAGTAGTTCTCTCGATACTAAGGCTAGTACAGCTTTTTATTTGCGAGGCAAATCCCTTCAGGGAAAATTTTTTTGTTCTCCAAAGATGCTGCAGGAAGCTTCAACGTGGTAACTGATACGAAGTATTTGGTAATCCTGTGGTTCTGGGGTATTGATTTCAGGATATTATCAATTTTTGAAGTAGACTCCCTCAGTACCATTTTTTTTTAAAACCAGACATATTCCCAAACATTTTCCGCTCTCACGAAGCGGAGACATAGAAAACTGAAACTTGGTTCACAGGTACCTCTTGAGATGCGTATTTAACCCCTTAACTGAGCTATTTCCACCACCCATTCCTATTATGTACCGTGTATTTTTTATTACAGAAAAATCCCTGAATTGCTTTATTTGTTGCTGAATCATCTCTGTTGAATCCTCTTCACTTTCACTAAAATTTGAATCTAAGTTCAGAATGTCATCTTTCTCTTACTTGCCATGACTGTACTTGTAGGGCTACCTGCAAATAATATTCTCTAAAATTTTGCAAAACAAGTTCCTATTGCATAGAATCATTACTGTTAATGTTTTAAACAGATATAAAATCAGTAATAAAGTAGGCTGTTTTCCACGCTGTTTTCATAGGCAAGAGGGTATGACAACGATTCGTCTCCGAAGTACTCAACTTACTACTTGTTGGGTGTGATATTACGGCCTTCGCAATTCAAATTGAAGTGCGCACTGAAACGTAACATTACGCCCTCCGCAGAACAATTCAGTACAGATTGTGGTGCAAAATTACTCCCTACACGGTTAAGGGGTTAAGGATATCTCCCTTTGGAGCATATTTTCTTGGGAGACATTTTCCAATACATTTTTTTTTGTTCCTGGAAATCCTTACCGGAATTTCCAGGATAGATGATTCCAAGGAAAATGCTGTTTTTTGAGTTCCATTCTATCGCTGCACAAACGTATGCAATTACGTTTCTGAGAAATGTTTACCCCGCGCCAATTCGGGGAGCTATAGAAAGCTAAACTAGATATAGAAGTATCTCTTGGAATTTCTAGAAACCAATGAATTTTACCGCGTTGGTCCAAAGCACACCTTTCGAATGATTTCATTATTTCCCTAGATCGTGAAGCGCTAAAGGCGCGACCATAGCGAGTTTGTTTGCCCTTCCGGCAAACTCGCTAGTGAATAATAAAGCTTAACTTCCTTTTACGCTTATGAGCACTTCTATTTACTCAAATCCTGTTACTTTCTCATCGTGTATTTGCCATGACGGTTGGAAAGAAAGTCTGAAAATTTCCTTGTCTTCTCCGGATAATTTCCCAATAAGCTTTCCTGTTCAAATTTGCGTTTACGAGGACGAACTGCATCTTCCTCATACTATCATCCACTTTGTGCGACTTTGCTCATTACCTACTATTTCCTTTCAGTTACAGAAAATAGCAATAGGAGAAATTCTGGACTTTCAGGCTCCAATTTCACATCCCTGGGTCTTCCGTGCCTCGGGAACATCGGAGAAGCTACTAAAACAGCAATCCTTAGAATTTTCCCAATGGGAAGGAGCGAGGGAGTGTTGAGCCAGTTGCTCATCCTTTGCGCTTTCCACGAGCACATCATCGCCCTTCCATGGATGCAACACTTCCTTATCCCTTGTAACGCTCCAAGACACCGCCAGTAATAGAGGGCGTTGCGGATGAGATGACCAACGGGACAACATAGTTTCCCCACTTTCCTCAAGCATAATACATAGGACTTACCTATAGATGGCTATACAAGGCTAGTTCCAAGAGGTTTCTCCGAAGAATTCGTTTAAGGGTAGGTTGTGCAGTACTTCACTGAAATAAAGAGGCTAAGTGAAGACGATTAAGATCAGAATGAATTCCGCAAGGCTGTAATGGCACCACGAACCCCTTTGATGATAAAAAAAAACTTAGAAAAGCAACTGTGGAGAGATTTTCGCATGCCTAAGTGTTCAAGAGTTTAATGACAATAAGGTGCAATTCCATGGATCAGCATTCTGAAGGCCAGTTCCCTTACAAATCCTAAAATCGTCTAGGTTCTGCATTGCGCAATCAGAAGCCGTAAAAGCTGCTCATCGCTCAACGGTTGCGCTTCTCGTGCCATTGCTCTATTGAATGCAGTCATTTGCACCCATAATACCAAACACCACTATGCTCACATCTTTGATATGCACTTATCTCAGCCATATATCTTCGAGCTAAAGAGCGGTCGGACAAAACACCCCTCAGTAGAATATAATCTTTGCCACTTCAGCCTCTTCTAATTCCTCTGAGAGGAGTGGGATCAAATCTAAATATGACCTGCAAGAATTCTAGCTCGAAAAGAAATGTGGGAGCATTTTCAATATGAAATGCACAAATCCAATGATAGATGTACGGGAATGAGTGCCATATTTTTGTTTTGGCATGAGCTAGAGCATATTGAAGATAAATCACAGGTATCTGATGTGGATGCATAAAAACTGCCATGCACGTGGCTTGACTCATACGTCTTGTTTATGGAAGGGTCCTACAGCAGTTTACATGTTAAACGTTGCTAGACCTGATTAGGGTACAGCGGATGAGTCTAGGAATTACTTAGCCTCTGCCTAGTTTTCTGATAATGTGGATTCCCATTGAGACTTTCTTGATAAAAATTAACCTCCTACATCATTCCATGAAATTCAAGGCACAACATGAATTGTATAAATGACAACCAGGAAGAGAAAAAGAGACATTTATATTGAAAAATGGAAGGATGATGTTATGATGCCTTGGAAAGAGCCTTCTTAGGGACACGTTCATATTCGTACTCGACCTCCACACGAGGTTTCCCCATCCCAGACCGTTTTCCATGCTTTCTCAATTTCACACTTGGCCCAGGCTTTTCTTCATCGCTCTCAGAAGATCCAGAATCATTGTGTCCTTTCAGGCTTTCCTCAGACTCGCTCCCATCCAGAGCCAAGTCCTGCAACAGGAATGGATTCTCATTGAACAAAAGAAAGATACAAAGAAAGGAAAGGGTAAAAAGTGGGGGCCTAATTGTCTCTCTCCCTCTTTCATCAACGGGAAAGATGAAAGATTGTAATGATCCCCATCCCATTATGATCCAAATCCCCATTAACACGCATGGCCAAGCCTCAAAGGCACACAGCGGGGAGTAGATTGGTAGCCAGCTTAAGAAAGGCCATTCTCTTTGGATTCCCTTTTCTAACCACACAATTACTACTCATCAGCCCAATTTCCGTATTTCTGATATTCTTTACTGCACGGTTCCTCCCACTTCTCAATGACATGTGCAAAGGGAAGAAAGATAAAGATGAAGTGGTTTGGGAATGTTAAGACCATAGAGTAGGAAGAAGATTTGAGAAATATTTGTATTACACATATCAGGAGAACTGTCCTCTCTAAATCTCACTCGTTCTGCACATGCACCAAATCTTAGATAAAAAGCGATCATAAGGTATAAAAATCATAATCGCCAATTACAGAATAGAATTAACATGCAGAATCTTCATATTACATTGAATTGTTCAAGTTTCCAAGGCCTCAAGTCCTGCTAGTAGTACCTGCCTTTTTTAAAGTTGTGATTAGTTCCCTTTTGCATACTGAACTCAGGAAAACACTTGTAAAATCAAGTAATGACCAACGAAGTACATCGTGGAGTACAACATTTTTCAGAATTGCTTTCATGTACCCCATATTTCTCATTGCACATTTTTTGCTGGATGGAATGCAATCAATATCTTGCTGAGTAGTAACACAGTTTTCCAGCCAATGCCAGGGCTGAATAGCCAAGCGAACTTATCCATTGATGTATAACATCATCTAGAGCAAAACTTGGAGACTATCCTTTCAAATTCACAGAGACTGTGACTCCCATCAGCTATTTACTCATGGACTGACTGATAAGCTAATGAATTAATTTACTCAAGGATAATCACTTAGGGGAGTAGTTTCCTCATGGAACATGAGATGCACCACTGTTGCTCTAGAAAGTCTCACCACCCAGGAGATCTTAAATGCACAGCAATTGAATAACTACAAACTTTTCCAACAAAATGCTTTCTTTCTTGAAATAGGGAAACAATGGGTCATATGCACAGGTTGAAACCTAAACACCCCAGCTACAAAAACCTAATTGCTAAATTTAAAAAAAGTGCCCTGTATAGCTGACTGAAAACTACAGGCGAAGTTGTGGCATGGGTGAAAAAAATTTTTTTTTGCATGTCCATTTAACCCATTCAAACACTCATGGTTCAGTTTTTCACAAGGAAAGACAGGGTCAGGTTATAAGGACATAGGTCCACATACCCCCATGTGGATGGGTTATATGGACATGCAAAAATGACAATTCAAACTAATGCCACTACTTTAATTAAACTATTCAGTGAATCATATTGGCGGTGAATTTTTCTTCATGGAGGATACTTTCAGAGAATAGTTTTTTGCAACTGGGGAATTTTTTGTAGTTGTGTGAGTTGCAGTTTAGGCTTTACTCAGTGCTTTAGGTGTTGATTTAACCCATTATTCTCCTACTTTAGTACAAAAGATTCATATTGTAACAATAAATAATTAAAGTTATCATGATACTTATGAATGAATTCATTACAACCACATTATAGAGAAATAATACCTGGGACAGCACATCAGTAATTATTCCTTGCTTTCTCAATAGGTTTGATGAAATTTGAGCTGCAATCAGCTATTGCTTTGGTGAAGAAGGTCCTTCTCAGAGGAAGAGGTTCTCCCTCTAAAAAAAAAATGTCTGGATAGAAGAATGGGAGAGAAACTAATATCTATTTCATATATGGCAGGTGAACCATCCCATTTGCCTGAATTTTTACAAGATACAGAATGAGTCAAAAATGATTTGGTTTAGGGTTCTCAATTTGACTAGATTAATCGATTAAAGTATTAATCGTAATTGAAAAAATTAATCTAAATTAACCAAATTTTAACAGACCCCAATCTCCCCCTGAATGCCTTTTTACTTCTCTTGTAATTTGAGTGTGCAGTTCATAGTTTTGCAAAACAACCAAAAATGAACACTACATCAAAGGAATGAAATGTAACAATGAAAAACGACTTACTATTTATGGAAAAAGGAAACACGCAAAAACAAAGCCATCGCTTTCTGACTATTCCAAAAAGAAGCTTCCTGACCCATTTGCATCCACAAGCGTTCTGGTATGCATCCCATGTTCTTCCACCTATCCTACAGCCTTTAAAGCAGTGGTTCTCAACCTGGGAGGTGTCACCCCCCCGAAATGCATGAAGGTTCAATGGGAGTATAAGGAAGGTTGAGAACCACTGATTTAAAGGCATATTGCAAGCCTTGCATGTCAGGCTAAGGTAGCAGTGGCCTAGGGCAGAGTGACTGAAAAGGATGCTAATGGGGGAAAAGAAATTCGTAATGAAGAAGCTGCAAGGGAAAGCACAGAAGGAAGATGGGATTTGGGCAAGGACATGGGACTGGAGAGGCAGGAAAGAGGATAATGTAAAGACTGGGAAACTAGAGGCATACATTTAAGTGCACCAGTGAAGGTCTCAGGGAACCCCCAGAAAGTAAATGGGAAAGCCTGGGACAGACAAGAAAAGTGGAAATGAAAGTGCATAACCCTCCCCTATTCCTTGCTTGCTCTTATTTTTGCTCTTCCGTCCTGTGTTGCACGAGAATCGATCATGAATCTCCATGTAATGAAGGGTCACTGTATACCCCCATTCATTCAGATTACATTTTTCCATCCTTCCATTGAGTTGGCTAAATGGCAAAGGGCCTCAGTGCGCTTCTTTGCTTACATTTCATCATTTACCTGGCTAAGTTGTAACTATTTTCTTTTTGATCGGAATGTGTCACATGCAGGTTGAACTATTACATGTATGGATAGTATTGGGGGTACAAATAAGTTTTGAGGGTTTTTTTTGTAACTTTGAAGCTTTATTCAGAGAAATTGGTACAATGTATTTTATTCAAAGTATTGTCCATCGTTAGCTACGACTTTTCCCCATCTTTCAGGCAGCATACGGATTCCGCGTTGAAAAAATTTCTTGCCTTTTGAGGCGATCCAAGAATCGACCCAATTTTTGGCTTCTTCGTAAGAAGTGAAGTGCTGCTCGGCCAGGAACAAAAAAGCAGCGCTTCCCGCAAATTGTGTTTTGTTGGCACAAAGGTTGACATGGTTAGAGCACAAAGAAAGTATGTTGTTTACACTTCAGCGACATGACACATACTGATTTTTAGCGGGAAATGATGACGCTTCAACATGAATATAGTTACAAGATGGTCCGATGCGATTTAATGCTAGTTATGCCATCTTTTGTAAATCCCTCAAAACTTATTTGTACCCCCAATAAATGATATGTTAGTGACTGCATTGCCTTGCATCACTTCCTGAGGCTTGCATAGGTGTTGGGCATGACACAAGCAGAATCATGTCCAATGCTTACAACATGATTCAAGGATGAACTAAGGGATCGATTAAAGTTCAAATAATCGATTGATTAATTGACTAAATGGCTCACAATTAATCTATACCATTTTTTTATTGATTGACAGCCCTAATTTGGTTTGATAGGAACAAAAAGCAGCAGCTTTAGGAGAGCATCATTAAAACAGGTGTCATTTTAGTCATTACTTCTATTGTGAGCCTAATGAGGAGGGAGGAAAAGAAGGGGAGATAGGGAGAGACAGAGAGGGGAGAGGGATGGAAAGCCAAGTTTGAATGAAAAAACTCAGGTACTTTTGGCATGAGTAGGAAGATTGCTTTGCTAATGCCTAATTAATTAAAAGGTGATCACTAATCTGCAAGAGCATTAGAGACTCCTTTAATAAGCCTCCTTTTCTTTCAGAAAATGGGAAAATGAGAGAGATCTACTGATATTAGCAATCATTACATCCTCATATTAAGTATTTGTGCTTGAGGAAAAACTAGTCCTGAAAATGCAGAACAATTTAAAATTGAGACCACTAAATGTAAGACCACAAGAGACAACTACTTCTACTCCCAGCCTACTGCTATTAGCTACTAAAACTCCAACACTGTCATTACATGGTGATTACGGACTCTCTGACAGAATAGATGGTATTGACTAAAAGTTTTCTCTCTCTCATCCCTACTTCATTGCAATCTATCCAGTAGTTAGCTATTTTTGTGAGACAAACTAAAAAGGAAAAATTTTAGGATATATATGCCCCTTCCCCAGCAATAAAATTTATTCAAAATATGGTGCCAGAGGAAAAGATGGAAAGAGAGATCATGATTTCAAAGACACCAATGCCATTCCCTAACTCCCTCCCCATGATGATAAAATCAATTCATCATAATATTACAGGCTATGATAAGATTCTGTGCTGAAGCAAATATTGTGCAATCCTATTTGATGTTTTTTGCATGCTTAGTCAAAACAAATACTTCCTAGTGTCAGTTTTTCCCTCTGAAGAAAACCTATGCTTTAATGAGGCTCTAAAGACCCATAATTGTTTTTTTTTTATTTTTTAACCCCTTAAGCCTTGCAACCTACTGGGGTGCTCCTCAGCACAGCAACTGGGAATACACAGGGTGGGCCATGAAAAGATTATGGTTTTTCTTTTGTTATATGCTGATTCCCAGTAAAAACAGCTGCATAACCTGTGACTGGGAGCTGCAATAGAATCTGAAAAAATTGTCAAGTGTATGTTTGGGCATGAAGGTTAAGGAATATCTGACAATGCAGCAAAAGGATAAAACTGTGCTGATGTATGCAGAGACAAAGAGTGTGACTGTTTCATAATGATGCTTCAAAGCTTTTCTAAGGAAAAGATGGACTCTGAATAGGAACACTATCCTGCACCTTTATTATCATTTTTGGTTCTTCCAAAGTCTCCTCTTGTTTGGAGACTTGACATAAACATGCTGTAAGTTTCATTACGAATATGCTCTGATTCATTTTCCCCAGGCAGAAGGCATGGATGAGTAGTCAAAATATTGACCCATGATTATTTGGAACTTGGATACCCAAGGAGAAGAGGCATAATCCCCTTGTTGCCTGGAAGCACATGATGGTGAAATGCCTCAGTGAGTAGCCCAGTCAAAATGGCACATTTTTGTGCTCATCAATATACTGGAGACTGGTGTGGACTCATTTTGTGCTATGTGACTGAAAAAGCCCATTATTCCTACTAAATGGGCATAAAATTTCATTTTCCAAAAACCACTTGCTTTGGCTGCTATAGAGTCTTTAAGATATTCACCACCAATCAGACTCTAATGAAGTACAGGCTACATCAGACTTCTCATAGGCAGTGGACATTGTGTTGCCTTCTTCCCACACAGCTCAGAGACATGATCAAAGTTGTGCAGTGCTACCTTTTTAGGAGCACTCAAACTTGGGAAAAGGTTCCTATGACCAGCATAAATCTCCCTTAGAGCAGAGCTACATGTGGCAATTGAGAGGATTGCTGCCTGAAAAATTCAGCAGTTATTCTTCCAAGGTGACATATTCATAAGTACTGTTCTTGAGAATTTCTTGTGTCTTCTTGGCTTGATGCCTAAGAATACTATCCTGATCCAAAATCCAATCGTTATTTGGGTTCAGCAACCTGATACTAAGTAGAAGTTGATTCCTCAGAATTGCAGAAATCCCTGCCAAAGGAAGCTTTGCCATAGATACACTGGCTAGCATTTACTTGGAATCTGGCAAACAGCAAAAGATGGCCCCACAGCTTGTTTTTTCCCAAACACCTGTTAATTACTGCTTTACCTTCTGAGGTAGACATTTTACAGCTGTCTTCCTGTAACTGAAATTCACAAATGCTCCCACTTTCCAGCATGTGCAAGTAGCATCATTGAATTGGAAGCAACCAAAGGATCAAAGGTTGTTCAGCTACATGCTCAAGCATGAACTTCAATTTTCTAAAGTACTATAAGGAGCATGGATCACAGCAATTATATAGCAGATGAACCTACTGATTTTGGAATATGGAATTTCATCTACTCGTGGCAAGAATAACAAATTTTTTAATCATATAATAAAAAATGAGTCCATACACTGATATATCAAGAGGAGTAAAAATGTGCAGTTTTAACTGGGCCATCAGGATATTTTTAATCATTCACACCATGCACACTGATACTACTAAAACATATTGCCCTCTTGTGAATGGAATATACTGGGGGTCAAGAAACCTTTTGCTATGGGTCTACAGCCAGAAGTATGCAACTGACCTCAGTGTTCTTAGCATTATTCTAAAGCATGTTTTTTCTGCTTCTCAGGTGACCAGAGTGAAATGATTTTGGCTGGCCTTCTTGGTGCTGGTGAGGAAGAATGAGTGGTGGACCATATACATGCGAATGCGTTGTGAGGCCATGAAGAGTGGTGCTGACTTCATTACCAGAAAGTGCATGTATATGATCCAACACCCATTTTTCCTCACTATCACCAAGGTCAGTCATGATCGTTTCATTCAGGTCACCTGAGAAGCAGAAAAAAATCAAGTTTTAGAATGCCACTAAGAACACTGAGGTTTGTCACACACTTTTGACTGTAGAACCTTAGCAAAAGGTTTCTAGGCACCCAGTACTCTCCTTTCAGAGTCATCCCTTATAATCCAACATTACCAATAATAAATGCCTAACATTGAAAATAAAAAACCAAAGGGAGAAAGGTTAGCAGCAAAACTTCCTTAAGATGAAAAGATATTGTGGGCCTACCTCCATATCAGAGATATCACTTTCTTCAAAGTCTTCATCTGCCACAAATTCTCTGTCTCCCACTCCTTCCTCATCCTCTTCTTCATCCTCTCTTCCCTCCTTTTCCTCTTCTATTTCTATTTCCTCTTCATGCTCTGACTCTACCTCCTCTTCATCCAATGCATGATCAAAAGCCACTTGAGAGAAGTTATAGATGTCACCATACTGAAAAACAAGGATATTCTGTACCTATGAAAGTTTCAAGTGACTCTGAATTCCACTGCACCATAGTTATAACTTGTAACAAAATTGCCACAATGAGCTCATGACAATACTAAAATAATAAATGCTAATTTTTTTTGCTATCTGAAACTTCCAATAAAAATTGAATATTCTAGGAGTTCTTTCAACAGAATAGAGAAAAATGAAAATTTACTTATTGTTCTAAGTTTTTGACAAGTTTTCTTCATTTCTGAGCTAAATTGTTTTGTAAATAGTTACTTCTCAAGAACCTTGTATACAAGTTTTCCATAAAACACATCACATTTTAAATCTTTAGAGCCCAGCATTTAAAGAAATCAACAATAAATAAATTAATAGCCCTGTATCAATATGCCCTTATGCAAGAGTCAATCAAACCATGAGAGCAGAGAGAAATCTGCCAAGCAATGAATTGCTCCCTGGAAAATTTGGGACAGCAAGAAGTGCAGGTAAATGACTTACTTATATTGCACTAATTAAGTGGACCTGCTCTTCAAAATGAAGTCCTATAATCATAAAACCAAACCAACCAGGTTCACTGTGGTCCAGAAAAAGTCACCATAGAATTGGTTGGTGGACAACTGTTTTATGAAAATGTGGAGATTAGCAATAATGGTCATAATCTCCATCCATATGTTAAACTTCCTAGTTGCAACAAAGTTGAGAATGATGTTAAATTTCAGAATTGTGTTGATTGAAATTATTGAGATATGCTGGCTCAGCAGAGATAGAGTAGCACTGCTTAGGTTTGTCTCCAGCCTCCAGGAATATTGTAAATGAGAATGTTCATTTAAAGGTTAAGAAATGAGATTAAAAAACTAGAAGCCTGGTTCTTATGAGGAGGCAAGCCTACCGTTCCTGATCTGAGTCTTTCAAGAAGCTCCTTCTCAATAGCATTATCTAGCCGTGCAGCAACAAGTGCCTTCTCTTCTCTCCGCCTCTCTCTCCTTTCTATCTTCCTCTGCAATGGCACCAGTTTCTTTCTGCAAGAAGAAAATGCCAATTTTATCATATATTAGTCATTAATTCCTTATGCAATTTCCTGGGAAAAAAGGAAAAGATACAACACACATTCAAGAAGCTCATACTGTTAGCACGGAATTCACTTCTCCTTCATGGGTTGTAAACTTGAATAAATGATTTTCTTAAATTTAGGAAATGTGGAACAACCTGACAGCTTCCTTGACTTGAATGTGACTGAGAACATTAGGGCTATCAGAATAAGTGAGTTCAGACTCTCATGCACATGGAAGATGAGCTAACAATGACTCCCCTCAGAAACCTTGTAAAGCAAAATCAATAGATTGTTGAGAGACTTGGAAGATAACACAGTTCTCTCAGTGCCTCTTCTCATTTTACACTGTTTGTCTTGAAGCTATCAGATGCAGAAGGGGAGTACAAAAATGATTAAAAGTAGATGTTTGGATTCAAAATGACTGCTCTTCTTCTTGGGGTTCCAGTTTTTTTCCTACCTCTTACAGCAGAGGCTTTGGAGGGGGGTGTTTGGCTATCTATGAGCATCACTTGTTACAATTGAAGAAGTCCAAAAACTCAAAAACATATCAAATACTAAAAAGATGGAGACTGTTGCCAAGGAATTTTAGAGACCAACTTTCAAGACAAAAAGACGATCACTAACTGAAAAGAAAAAAGTAATATTTCAGAGATGCTTCCAGTCTGATCCATGGCATGAAACTTACTGTCGATTCAATTGAAGCTTTCTCATCCGGATGAGATATTGTGTAATCCTTAGATATCTCTGTTTGCACCTATGGATGATGTACTTGGGCCAAAATACAAGATTCTCAGCAATCTGCTGCATGGCTTTCTCATAATTCTTGGACAACTTCACCTTCTCCCACAGCCTTGCTGGATAAGCTGCCCTGAAACAATAAGTCTCTATTAATCTCAATTTCTGGAGAAAAATTTTCATTCACTATGTGCATAACAGGTGCAGAGATGTTGAAACTGAACCTCAGCATCTTACATATTCCTCCATCATGCATCACCCATGAGATTTAAGTTCTTCCCTTGTCTTGTTAATGAGAACAAGGGCAAACATGAATAGGAATACATGTGTAGGGTGGGGCTTCATTTAGCTTCTTTTATTTTTATTTTTATTTTTTTTTACAGACTTTTGACAACTGGGCCAAGCTATGTGCCTGAGCTGCACTCAATTTTGCTAATGCTAGTGTTCCAAGAAAACAAACCATTATATTTATTGGAACAAAGGAGAAAACAAACTAATAGTCTGAAGAATTAGTAGTCCTTCGATGTGGGTGCTCATGAAAGCAGGCTGCAGCTGTTTCCCTGACTGCATCACCCACAACACAATGCTCAGGAATGCCTTTGATTCACGAACCCTATTCAGTTTGTTGCTATGAAACAGATTATTCTTTCGCTCTGTCCATCACTCAACCACAGTTTTCCATAAATGGTTGATGTAGTGATGTTCAAGGGCAGGTTCATTATCCTGAAAGTCTGGTTCCTGTGATAGCTCTTCATGTTTATTGCTTATTCCAAACGAATCATTTTATACTCCAAAGCACATTAAGACATAACTGAAAAATCATATGATGAACACTTCAATGCTGAACAGCTTCAAACTGTTATCTGTCAAGGGCTTCCAGTATTCAGAGGCTGTGTCTGTCTGTGCCATGCCAGTGCAATATGCTTGTATTTTCCTCATGTCGTGAGTTTCTTCTTCAAGAAGAATGTGAATCGTGCCTGTGACAATGCATCCAATAAAGTTATTCCAAATGCTTTCTTTGTCCTTAACTTGGATTAGAAAGACTTAGAGGTTGAGGAAGATGAGTTGGGGGAGGGGAGTGCACATACCCCTGGCAATCAGAGTCTGCCCATTTTTGTAAAATTTCTTGACTATAACCTTGCTTGTACCATATATTAAGAATAACAGCATTTTTGGCAAAAAGGAATACTCTTAAACCTCCCAAAATGACATCTGCCAAACCCATACTTGAAAAAACCTCAAACATGCCTATCTGTCAGATGTGACAAGTAACACCTGCATATAAGAGGATGAATGTGAAGGTCTCTATATTTCAAGGGATATCGACCTTCATCATGATCATTAGAATAAGAGCTGTACCAATTTAGACTGGACTCTGGCCATTGGCCAATTCAGGTGTTTTCCAAAAAAAACCAGCTGAATCAATCTCTGCATACTCTGGCTTTTTTTTATTATTTCATTTTATTTTTGTATGCTCAACATGCATCAAATCTCTTCTCCCTACTTCAATTTCTTGGCATTCCATAGGTCAGGAACTCCTACAAATAGACAATGGCAAATGCGATCTGCACTTATTTCAGGGAATGGAACTCAAAACTAAAATGCATGTGGTCAGAAGCAAGGCACCATCAGGAGCACAAGCAAAAAGAAGCTGCATTCCAAATGAATACTCTGAGGAGCCTTTATCATTTTTTTCTCTTAACATCTGCTTAAAATCTTGAATAGATTTGGTCCCGTTAAATGTGCAAAAGCTCAACATAAATGTTATGCCTCTAGAGTCTAGATGCAGCTGTGATGTAACACAATGGGTCTACGCTGAATGTAGGCTGGACTAGGTTTGTGATACACACTCCATTTGGCCTATCCAAGCCTAGATCATTGTGTTCTTATTCTTTTTCCAATTGAAGTAATGTGGAATGCTAAAGCAGTAGTGTTACATAGATTCAAACACCTGAAACAAGGGGTGATGTGAATCTCTTCCTTACAATGGAACTCTTTCTGAAAAGAGAATCTGATATTTTTGGCTAGTTTTCTTGTAGTTTAGAGCCCTATTTGTTGTGAATTTGAGAGATTTTGGAGAAGCACATGATTTCAATCAACAAGTCATTGCAATGACTTCATACCCAATGTAGAACTGATGCACCTAATTCAAGTTAATGTAATCATGACACCGTAACTCTCCAAAAATTACCTCTCCTATACACAAGCACAAAGTACCAGTACTCTTTCAAGAAGAGATACCACGAATAGGAATGTAGGCCAAATTTTCATATTGATACAGTCCTAAATGGAGTTGATGCCAAAATGAACATGTCCCATCTTGAATGAATGCTCCATCATATAGAAGACTTTAAAAGGGAATTAAAAGAAAAAGTCGGCCCTTGTTTTGGTGAAGAAGGTAGTACTGGCTGTGCCATGCATTGTGTCACTACACTGTTGCTCAAAGGGTTAAGGTAACAAACAGACGTCATATGCTGCTGCAGCCAGTAGCTAGGGAACATACCTCTCAATGGTCTTCATGTAAAGACAAAGGACACCCTCCTGTTCTCGAACAGTTGCATACTGGCTATTGGCCAAAGGACAATTCTTTCGGGAGCAGAGACCAGTCAAGTTGTACTCATTTCGACAAAACTTCTGTGTTCTTGTGCTAGGGAAAGAACGATGGACAGAAATCATCACCTGAATTTGGAAAGGAACTAAAAATCTATTTTGCTTCAAATTAGGCCTTTTCCCCACAGGAAGCAATGCAGGCTTAAATAATGTAGAGTACAATGTACAGGGTGGCCCAGAAGTAATAGGGCAGTTAATGATACGATCAGCAGTCACTATTTTTACTTACAACCTTTATGATTAGTGATTATGAAATTAAAATAAAAATCAATTAATAATCAAAATAATAATAATAAATTAATAACATTATACAATTATAAAATAATAATAAAATTGTAGTGAGTGCTGATTGTACCACTAACTGCCCTATTACTTCTGGGCCACCCTGTATAATAATGCACAGGCATGCTGAAGCTGAAGAGTGGCATCACTAACCTGGTCTTATAGGAACAATGAGTATTGTTGATGATGCTCCAAATGACCTAAAAGCAAAAAAAAACAGCAAAATAATCATTTATACCAATACAGCGAATGATAGTAATCATGGAAATATGGTGACCTTGATGCAATCTGGCATATACACAAAAAATCACTTTGGTTCATTCTTGACAAACTGGGGATTTAGGATATACCTAGACTGATTACTTTTGTTATAGAGGATGATTATAATTTATGGTGATTTGCTTCATATGAAATGGTCTCAAATCCCTTTCCCCCACCACTGGTTGTCCTTAATCAGATGACCATGTTGTTGAGCAATAACTGCAACACAACTTCTGCATCACACCTCTAAGTGAAGACCTTTATGGATGATGTATTGCCCCAGTTGGCTGAGACATGCAAAACAGCTTTAGCAATATAGCTTTATATTTTAGGATTTAATTTATTTGACCACCCCCAGAGTATGGCTTGAAGTAGTCTTTGTACAGAATAAGCCAAGGTCTCCAAAGTTTATCCATCCCTGTCTTGTCTCAGTCCCATTCAACACCTTGTGGTTTCTATTCTTTGTTACACAGTAATTTGTCTTTATAATCTCTGAATATTGAACTATTGCATCAGAAAGGGCACTCATGTACCCTTTCCAGTGTTGGTAAATTTTCAGCATCAAAGCAGTCAACTGCTCATCACAGCATTAAACATAGATCCAAGCCTACAGCTCCATTTACAGGCTACAGCCCAAAATAACATTTCCCAACTAGTCCAGAAGCAAGTGGTATTTGTCACCAGAGAGAGGGAATTTGTCACCATTTGTCAATCAATCTCAGTAGGTGGTTGTCTAAAAATTCAAAATTGATTAGGACACTAATCAACTTATTTATTGATTAAATATTTTTAAAAAAAATTTTTAAATTGCTCACATCCAGCTCCATTGTTACAAGAAACCAATGTTCCCTGCTTGCTTTATTGCTGCCTCAGATGTTGACCCCAATTCTGTTCTTGTCACTCCCTGGTACTTAGCCATGCTTCATTTTATTTTTTAATTGATTTCACAATCGATGCGCCAATTACGTCAAAAGATGAAATCTCTCTTTCCAAAATAACACCAGCCTAGGCAAGCATAACATTTGTTCTTTCCCTTCTATCTTTCATATGCTGTCCACAAGACATGCTATGAATCGCCAAAGTGATTCACTGCAACTTTCAGCGGGTAGGCAGTTACTTAAAGCGATGCGAGTCACCCGAACGAATTCTTTCACTGCGGGCAGCTAGTGATTCGCAAATTTTTAACAATCTTACCATGGGCTCCACGGGCCTAATATTACTTTTACAATGGGAGATTTCTCTTTAACTCCTTGGATGCACAATAGAACAATATTGGATAATATAAAGGTGAAACAAATATATCAGCAAATCGTTAAATGAAGACACCAAATGACCGGCAGTGCAACAGGCATGCATCGGAAAGAGGTGCTATTCTAGGTCTACACCGAGTCTCTTGAATAGAAAGTCATGACATTAGCGCCAAGAAGTGAATTTCTTACGTCGTCACTCTCCATTACTGTTGACTAAGTTGAGCAGATCGCTGGGAGGGAAGAGCCGCCACGTGAGAATCCAATAGCATGCAGAGCACACGAGGGTAGCGACATGACAGCACGAAACGACGCAGGGATGCCATCGGCAAAGGGCAGGTGTCGCACGAGTCATTTGAACTAAGCAGACGTGGAATATGATGACTGCTCGCCATTCCGCTCAGAGTTGGAACTCACGACTTCAGCTAATATCCACAAGGACAGGAACGTCTTAAGATGTGAAAACGACTGAGAATCTATTCGGATTCGAATCAGGAAGAAAAGTTCACATTTGGAAATTTGACTTTCAACTTCATGGAAGGGTGCCCACAATGGCGGATCCAGCAATGTCGGGGGGGGGGGGGGGGGCATGTTCCAAGATAGGAACATTTATTGAGCACAAGATAGGTCAAGCAACAATCTAAATTGCATTATTTTTCAATCTCATAATTGCCGTATCAATGGGATCACTCTCATTCCTCACTATTGGAGGGCTTTTCGGGCTTCCTCCCCTCTTCCTTCTACATCCAACATTACATGAAATTCTACATCTATATGCGAGGAGCATTTAATGAGATTTGGACCTCACCCCTTACTTTCCACCGTGCAAAAGCAACACAATTCATTCCATCATAGCGTTTTTCCTCGAGTCAGCCCATCTTTCACTTGACTCGAACACTCCTGCATGGGACGTTCCTCTTGCATGAGTGTCGAAGTCAGGGAGGAAAATGTCTGACTCGAGTGAAAAACACCATTTATTCTCAATTGTTGAAGAATAAAGAATCGAAGACAATCAGACTGAAATTTACTTTTTGGTTGTGAATTGACACCCTGAGCTAAATCCTGAATGCGCAAAATGTTCCATCGCAGCAAGGCAAGCTTTACGCCCCTTAGTATGTTTGCTGTTCTGGTCTCTAGGAAAAATTTTTGTTCCCAGAGCTGAAGTCAAGGTTTGTCGGGAATGAATTTTCATACATCAAGGAGCTGGCCTGTAGAGTCAAACTCGCAGCTGAGAAGCAGCTGGATATCTAGCCAAAAATTCGATGGAGCAAGATGAAAATCTACTGGCCGAGCCTTCACACGATTCCTCACATCTCTATGGGGTTTGGTTGCGATTTTGCAGCCTGAATGGAAAGTCAGAGAAATTCGAAACTTCTGGCCCTCGACTAAATTTTTTTTGCACGTTGGGTGATTCATTCCAGATCAAATATGCGATGCTTGATTCCCATAATTCATTTCTTGGGCAGTGCTTTTATCTTATTCTCAATTATTAATAGTTATTTTTTGTCAGATTGCTTGAGAGCTTCTCTGCCCGGAAAAAATAAAAAGTGCCAATGGTGGCTTTGGATTACAGTCCGACAGTTGGTCGTGGAGTTGACGGGGACATTCACCAATCGCTTTACTGTAACTTAGGCTGTAATGCTAATTGTTAATTACACATTTTCCAGTTCACTGCAAAATAATAGGAAATATTCTAAAATAATATAATAAAATTGCGTGCCATTCCTCTGAATGGAATGTTTCGGTTCATGTCCCTCGTGAGAGTAATTTGTGGATGGAAGGTATTTCATTTAAAGCTGAATAAAAGCCCTGAAAAATAAAATTTCACAAATAAATATTTTTTGTTGCGTTATTCATAGAGAGCAGGAAGTGTTTCACGATACACGACAGCTTACCCCACAGTACCTTGGGGGATGGGACAGTGAGACACTTTTACCACCTTTCAATTTTCAGCATTCGTCAGAAAACTGTCATATCAAATGGCTTGACATTTTTCGTAGCCAGGTATGGCCTCTGGCGAATGAACTACTTGAATTCTCGAAAAAATATTCCTGTCGTGAAATTATTTGGATATTTGATAAGAGTTGTCCCACTGTACCCCTATCTGCCCACCTCAGTCAAAAGGTATCCAAAGAGGCACCAAGTCCGTAGGCGTGTGGTCCATGGAGTACATCTCGACGGCCAGCGAGGAAATTCGGGAAAAGGAAAGAAACTTGAAGCAGAAAAAGAAAGGTATGACGAAGGGAAAGGATTGGCACAACCAAAGGGGGAGTTAGGGGATTTGATTGAAACCTTCCACCAAAGGCGTAGGCAGAGGCACGCACGGGAGGGCGAGTGCTCCCCGCAGGGTAGCAGACACACGAGGACCGCTCGAAAGTTCCGAGACTTTTCTGAAAAATTTTCCAGTACCAATCTGCTTAGGGAAATCACACCAACACGGTTAGCCTTCGAAGTAGTCCCTCTTTCCTGCAGTTCTATACCAGCGAGAGACAAGATTGCATGCCATCATCTGGAATCACCTCGAAGGCAGTTGTCGTAGGGTGTTTGCACCTCCTCAAACTCTTCAAAAAGCTGTTACCCTTAGGTTTCATGATTTACGCAAATGGTCAGTCACAGAAGCAAGACCTTACATCGGGTGAGGCAGAATAAAACGAGCCGCATTTAGAAAATTTGTGGTGCCTCTGAAACAGCAGCTAGAACGACGATGTTTCTTTCATACACTGAGTTCCTATGCATCCTTTGAGCATCCGAAAATTTTCCACCTCGTTAATCTTTAGCCGTTTTAGCACAAGAACGATTTTACAACAGCAACTGGAACTTTATTTTTGCGTTCGCACCTGGACACTGACTGGAGGACCCCCTCACTTGGAATGAGAATTCTTTTCAAGGTTTTTCATTCTGCACTTCAGAATCTGCAGAGCAGATCTCTGATTCGTCTGGCAATTTAGCATACCAGGATTATCATCTTGAGAAACAATGACTTCTTCCACATAAAGGCAGCTTCCTTCAGTTCCGCCTTGTTTTAGTCTTCCGCTGTTTCTCGCAGCTTGTGAATCAATCTCTTAACGATAGGCCTGCATTTCTTTCATCATTTACCAGGAAATTCGTGCAAAATTCAGTCTCACACTATTCTTCCGCAAAGAGCAGCATTTTATGGGCAGACAGAAGAGCTTTGGCGCGAGATTGGTGCACTCCGCGCGTATCAACTCTTCCGTCGATACGTTTCCTCGCGCAAAAAAATTATTGTTGGCTTCGCGTTTTTGTTCCTGTGCTGGAGAAAAATGAGCAAGAGTTTTAGGACGTTTAAAGGATACGTTCAAGTTGCTGCAAAATTGTTTTGACCAGCTACCTGCTATCTTATGAACTCCAAAGAATCTCAAAGAGCGGGCATTTCCTCCGCATCCACAGGGATAGAACATTAAGGAGAGAGAGATAGGAGCCTAGTCGATACATCACTCGTAAGGGGAGGAATTATTTACTACTCCCCTGTAATTGATACAGGGAAACTTTCCAATATTTCTCTCAAATACTTGCAAAGTCTCGGCAAAAGTCCTCATTTCCCTCTCGTATGAACTAAGAGTGCAAAATCCGCGGAAGAATGGCCTCGATGGGGCGCTAGCAAAAAATAGGTCCATTATGTACTTGTACCCAGACACTCCAAATCGGGAACGACTGCGTATTCGCCAACTTGCGTACGTATTCCTTCGTTCGTAGAGTTGTACCAATCCGAAAACGATATTGATGCCGCATTCCTCACATCCTCAGTTGAAGCCAAACCCCATACAGAAATAGGCAACACTGGAATACTTGGGCAAGTGTTCCAGACTTAAACGACAAACGTGCCCCCAAATTCGCCTCACCTCAATCCGGTGGATTATGTAGGCCTATGGAGGAAAATGTCAACGCGTGCACGAAGAGACTGATGAAAATTACATCAAACCTCTGGATGAGGCCGAAATAAAAATAGCAAATTCATCGATCGAGATAAAGGCCTCTATAAAAAAAATGTATTGAAATTGATAATTAGTTGCTTCATTGTAGTGAAACTTCATTGGTGGCATTGTGGACCAAGACTTAAGAGGCCACCTTGTAAATGTCGGAATGCACACACTCGACAAAGGGTGTTTACAATCAACCAGGTTCTTCATCACTTCCTGTATCAGAGGATAAAAAAAACAAAAGTTTATTTATTTATTAATTTTTATCATGCTTCGCAGTTAGAATAAAAATAGCTTTGCACTGGACAAATTTCCGAAAGAACACTTTGGGCTGCATGCACAGCAAAGCTCATGAACAAGTCTGTGTCTTTCATGTTCCAGGAGAGAATATGAAGTGTGAAGACTACCATAATTTGTGCAACGACCATAATAGAACATGGCACAAAAACAAGTGTTTATTTCAAAGCAGCCATGGAAACGCACTTCAGACCAGCCACAAATTTCTACCTTTTGCAAAAGTGGATACAAGTGATACATTTTTAAACAACTGGTAGGCATGTTTTCACAGTTAAAAATCAAACAGGCACAATGATTTTACTTAAAGGCATAAAACTTCTTCTCGGAGGCATAAGGATGGAGAGGGTGCATCTAACACACTTATTCCCATAGCCCACAGCTGAACTCCAGACAAAAGCGGTTAGAGGGCTAACTTTTGGAAGTCACTCCAAAAAGCCTCCATTGCATGAATGAACAAGTGTAGTCAAAGACAGAGTTGCATATTTCCTTGTGAATGGGAAGTTTCAGAAGTATTTAAAAAAATTATTTTTTGCTTATGCCATGAAAGAACATGATCTCATCTATCTAGTTCAGATTTTACTACTTGGAATACTGCCTTCTCAAAGAAATTTAAAAGCACTTATCCAAATTGCAAAATGGAATCAAGATCAAGGGAAATTCATCCCAAATGAAAGAAAACATTAAAATGTGAAAACACTGCAGGAAAACAAAATTGTTGGAATGGGAGAAAAATGGTGAAAAAACGAGAGGCATGAACTCAAGGATCTTAAAGAAATTCTTATGATGGGAACTGGTTGATACGGATGGTACGACCAGTGATGGTTATCAGTTCTTCATCCTGAACTTCACGCAATGCATCCTCGAACATCTCCCTTGTGATCATCTGTCATGAGAATAAAACAAACGCAAACCATTACAGATGCACTTCTTGTCTCAGCCAAAGCTTGACCAAAGAGAAAACATTTTTTCAGCAATTCTGAGACATGAAGCTCAGACCTTTCACTCACTCTACTATCATGGGAAATGAAAATTTTATACACTTCCTCCAAGGGAATTCCTTTAAAACTACAACATACAATGCACTTCCCCTCCAAAATAGGGGAAAAGCAAACAAGGATAACTATTACTTCTCGGATCATCCTGAAGCACATTCAATCTAGAGCGTTAAGAAATCACCTTTATGCTGAGCAAGATATCATATGATTAGACACACTATGTAAGAACAAAACATGAGCTGCAGAGAGAAAAGAAAATACTACATGGAAATATAATTAGGAATGCATAAAATCATTCTGGAATAAGTTCCTAGCTAAAAATATTTGTTGACATGTCTTAAAATGATCAAAGTACCTATTACCTATTGTTGGGTGGAGGGGTTCTACTACTACCAAGAAACTCCAACATATAAGAATTCATGAAGCTATTTTTCTGTTCAAATAGAAACAGCAATGAAGAGAAACTAACAATGTCAGAAGATTCACGAAGCTCCTGGAAAAGTTTCTGTTGGGCAATGGTGGCCATTTTTTCCTTGCTCTTGATGAGTTTCTTAACAGCATTTGCAATGTCTGCTCTTCTCTTTCGTGCAGCACTGCTCACTCCTGTTGTCAGGATGTTCACATCAATCTTACCAGAGGTTGGGTCTGTTGCTGCTTGTTTCAGTGCCTCTGAGTACAATCTACAAAAGAGATTCATGTATAGTACAAATTGCATGAATCACTTGATACTGCTAATTGTGCAGCTAAGTGCATTAGATAGGTCAGAATAGCCATTATTTTATTCAAGTATTTCTCACTTATTCCATGTGCTGAGGCTATGACTTATAATTTGCTCTCAGATGGAGGGACTGATGTCTCGGTCATTCTTCTTGTACTCTTAATCATATTGTGGGTGAATCAATGACAAAAAACAAACTGTAACAGCCAGTGCACTCATAAGAGTGGCTATTCTGACCCACATGGTGCACCACACCAAAATCAAAATGTGTACAAAACATCATGGCAGCATCAATACAGGTTCATGAGACAGGAAAGCACTCAAATCAACATGACACCATACAGAAAACTTCAAAATGATTCATTTTCAAATTAATAAATTGAATGAAACCTTGCTAAAACAAACCACACTGCTAGGCAAAAGTAACAACTTTTTTTTTCCATCATGGCACATCCTGGGAATTTAAATCAGTAACAGTGAAGACCCAAGCATATCCTCTCTCAATTCGTTAATAAAAAGCATTACATGATACAGATGTATTTTCCCAGGGTAAATGGGAAAAGCACCAAAACCTGAACTTTCTGCAATATGGGAGTATTGAAAACTTTTGAGGGGTTGATAGCATTGTGCAGCATGAACCTTTATATATTTTCTCTTCTTTTAAAAACTCCTTGGTTTCATGCACATTTGACACAGAACAAAATGCAGTTTGGACACTTGCTATGGACTTGCATAACATACATCAGCATAACTACTGATTATACACAAAGGCAGAAACAGTAACTGAAGAAATAAATAGCCATGTTGTGTTTGCCTAGCAAGATAAAAGTCAGTTCACAAATGCTAGCTCATGAACTCAAGGAAATTTGGAGATGTTTGAATTTTTGTGAATTCCTTCATATGTTGTCTGGGTAAAGCACTGACAATGAAACATTTGCACAAGGAGCTTATGCATATGGGTAACTCATTATAAAGTGGCAGCTCCCCTTTTCCTCCTCCATTTCTCTTTTGATGGGGTGTTACTTTTCTTGAGTATTAAAACAATTAATCAAATTTCATTAATGAGCTTATTTCTCTGAAACACATAGTACTACATAGCAACAAAGAGGAATTACCTCCAAGCTTCCTCAACATCAACAATTTCCACAGTAGAAGAAAAGCGCATTTTGGCATGAGCTTCAGCAAGTCGAATGAGTGACTCCAACTGACGTGGGTAAGCAGAGACCTGGCCACGGCCACTGCCAGTTTTCCTCATAGATACGTAGGAGCTGATCAGATTTTGAGCAGCAGCTTCACTCAACACAGGGTGAATGTGTTCCTTGGCATACGTGATATAATCCCTTAAGATCCCCATGTCCTGAAATCACATTTGTGCAAAATCCCTACCATTAAGATTCATATTTGAGCATTTCAGAAATTCTGAGATGTATTTATAACAGCATACAAGAATTTCTTCCTGTTCCTGTTCCTGAGACTTGTCATATAATGAAACAAGATGACGGGCAAGCCTCCTGTCATACAGCTCATCTTGGGGATCCAGCATGAGGAAGATCAAATCAAATCTGAAAGGAAAAAAAAATTATAGATAGTGTTCCAACCTGAAGCTTTTCTAGACACAACACATCCATAATGATTAGGACTACCTGGACAGAAGGGTGTGTGGGAGTTCAATATTTTCAACAATGGTCTTATTCTTGTTCCACTGGGATCCAGCTGGATTAGCTGCTGCCAAGACTGATGTGCGAGCGTTCAACTGACAGATAATGCCGGCCTTGGCAATAGATAATGTCTGCTGCTCCATCACTTCATGGAGGATACTGCGGCTACTCTCACTCATTTTGTCAAACTCATCAATGCAGCAGATACCATTGTCAGCAAGCACAAGTGCCCCCCTGTAATGTATCATAACAAATCACCTCATGAACTTGAAATCGAGGAGAGAAGGGAATATCTCTACAGAGGTCTATAAGCTGAAGAACTCAGAGCAATTCAAAGACAAATCATCTCACGTTTGCAGAACAAGTTGTCGTGTTTCAGGATCACGAACAACGTAAGCAGTGAGACCAACAGCACTGGAGCCTTTCCCTGATGTGTACTGTGAACGAGGCACCAAGTTGTAAACATACTGGAGGAGCTGGGACTTACTGGTTCCAGGGTCACCACACAACAAGATGTTAATCTCTGACCTGTAATCATGATCATAATTGACAAGCATTCAGTGACAAAATAAACTATATGTAGAAGGCACTATTGCAAATTTTTTGCTTTAAAACACAGAAATAGAAAGTAGCAGAATCATTGTGGAAATTACCATGGGTCAAAGGAGTTAATGTTATTCCAGTATCATGTTTGCCACATGCCTTCGATAAAACTCCCTGTTCCTTCTTGGCACTTGGCTCATTGTCGTGTTACTTCATAATGTGTATCACAAAACAATGCAATGCTGACACCAACAATTAAATTTTCTCTTTCAGTTCTGGTAAAGCCCATGGTTTTAAGGACATTCACAGGTGCTAACATGCATAACCATAATGCAGTTTTTGTCTAACTGTTGCAACATATCCAAAAATCAGAAAAACAACAGCACTTAAGGGAATGACCACTAGACTAGCATTGTTCACCATGTATCTTTCACATGGGGCAGTTCAATGACTTGCTGGGAATGAATCATGACAACATATAACCTCAGTGAAGTGCTCTGGACAGCATTCTGGATTGCCCATGTGTCAGTGAGTGCACTAGGAATAAACCTGTATTTGGATACATCTTTGAAAAATGCATCAAGCAGCAGCACAGGAGTGTCAAGTGGTGAGTGCAACCACAAAGGTCATATCCATAAAATCTGTTTGGCAACCTGTTGCATAGTCACAAAATGAATATTTATCAAACAATTTTCATATCCCCTATAGTATAGTAGCAGGCATACATTTTTGTGCCAATCAAAACAAGTAAACAGACCTGAATTTTCCCCTGCCAGCATTAGTGAAATCCTTTTTTGTGCCTCCCAAGAGCTGGAGAAGAATGCCTTTCTTAATGTCCTCATGTTCATAGATGGAAGGAGCAATGGCTCTGGCCAGACGCTCATAGATGTCAGGTTTTCTGCCAAGTTCCTTAAGGAATGCAACTCTTTCAGGTGTGAAATGGGTTTCCTTCCTGTCAGACAAATCAAAAGATCAGTGGTAAGTGCAACCAAGACAACAGAAATATGCAAATTAAATAAGAAAGGTTGGAATAGAAATAGGCTTGAACAGAAAAGGAAGAGAAAAGTCTCACGTCTCAATATCCCTCAAGCGTTGAGTATGAACCTTGCGAAAGTGGATGACATCAATGTGGGTATGGTAGATAGACTTGACATTTCGTTGACGTGGATTCACACGAATGGGAGTGGCTCGGTAAATTCCTGTCACAGTGACACGATCACCAGGTTGAGTGGTATCCACCAGGTCATTGTGAGCATAAAGCAAAACAGTGTAGGGAGTTTGTCCAGGAGGCATATCATCTGCAAGCAGAAAATTAATTACAACATAATCCTTTATTACATTTTGCATCTCTCCAATTAAAATATAGGCATTGGAAGAAAACCAAAGAAGTGAAGAACACTGTCTTATGAAGGAAGAGATTTGGACTAACAATCGGAAAGGAATCCATTATACTTTCAACAGAGGCCAAATTTTCTCATGATGTTCTCCATGTCTTCCCACAGTAGTGATAAGGATACAAATTTACATATGACCATGGTGATGACACCATCAAAATAAGCATAACTTCAACTACAAATATACTAATGATATAGCTTTCAACAGTTCTCAATAGGCTTCCATCTTCTCAGTGCACTTTATATATATTTTTCTCACTATTTTCCTAGGCTCAGTTGTTTCCCTAGTACCACCTAGTATCATCAGTAGCACTCACAACATTTTTAGAAACATGTCTTCTCAGTCCACTGATGCTTTGTGCAAAGTCTGATAAATCCAGCAATGCCATCAATCATGCACAGTAGGGCATTGCAGTATACCAGTATTTTCATCATACTGCGTTATTCAGTTCTCATGATAATCACACCAACCCCTTCTACATTTTTCAGTATTAACACCATGGTATGAAAACTGTGAAATACTGATCATGCCCAAGATCATATCGTCACAACAGTATGGATACCACCTCTCGCACCATTGTCACGGTATGGAAACTGTGGGCCACCACCACCAGTATTGAAACCATAGGACACCACCTCTCATCGTACCACTGCCATATCTGAAGAGCAATTTCTAAAAATAAAATACTTTGTCAACTATCCTCCCCGTTTCCATCCAAGGCAACACCCACCACCCCAGAAAACCGAAGCCTTCCTGGAAGTCTTGGAGAGCATTTAATCCTGACCCAAAGACGTTAGAAAGATTCCCCATCTTCATAAGGCTTTTTCTGAGTTCATAACTGAGGCAGCTCCCCCACTTCTTGATGGTATCACCAGTATACCCACTGAGGAATTCAGCGCATACTGCATTGCCCTAATATAGAGTGACAGATATCTGACATTACCCTAGGAAGGTGTGAGGTCATGATATTGAAATGAATAGGCCTTCCAAGGTCTAATTGTTAGCATTGCCAACAACAGTAATCAGTAGTAAGGAGTAATGTTTTACCTACAAGTCCCAATGGGATCTATGCAAAATGAAAGAAAGGAGGAGGAATCTAATGTCATTGGCATGCTAAGATCTACACACTTTCATGCAATTTGGGGGGGGGGGGGATAGACCAACATCAACTAGTGTATAGGAGGTCAATATTAAACCATGACTATGTGGATGTTATAGCTGAAGGAGCCTGGCCTAGGTCAAGCCTACACTGAGTATTTGAGAAAATGTTAGTTTGGGAGAAAGGAGTTGCTCTTTCAACATTAATTTTGAATATTGGATGAATTCAATATCATTACACCTCCAATTACACATACATATTCTGACTGAAGTGGTCCACTTTACCTGGAGATTCCTGAAGTTTGATGAGCTGTTTGTCAGAAAATTCAGAGCGATTGTGGATGAGAGTGAAACAATGATTGGTGTTGCAGTTGGTGCAGACACTGGGTTCAGGGATCCGGCCCCGGTCTAGCTCAGTTGTGGTCGTGGACTTACATACAGAGCACTTGAATAATGCTTCACGCATCTCAGGAATGATGTTGGATGAGCGAATCACCATCCCCGATATGGTGATCAGCTGGTCCAAATCTATATAAGTCAAAAGTCACTTTCTTCCACCAAATGATGATAGCTTCAAAATCAATAGATAACATGTTACTCACCTTGAGGATTGAGAGAACGCATGTTCTTGGTCTTTTCAGCATTGAAAGGTCGGACTTGGATTTGATGACGGAGGTTTGTGTGGGGATACTTCTCAAAGAACATTTCATTGATGGCCATGTCAAATACCGGGATTACCTCTTGTGGATAGGAGACCAGCTGTCGATAAAGTGTCTCATCAAAATGCTGAACGTGGGCACAGTTAACATTCATGAAAGGCTCTTCCAGGACCTGAATCTAGAGAGGGAAAAACATTCCAAGAGCACTTAGAGCCATGATCAGGATAAGAATGAACCATTTGGCATACAAAGAATGAAGACAGATGGTTCACCTCAGCTAATTTCTGCAGGTATAATGGCTCAGAGGAATCCATGCCTTCAATGACTTCATCTTCTTCAACACTGGAGTCCACAAAGTTGGAAATGAAGTTTTTCACCTTTTCCTTGCAGCGAGACACAACTACATCTGTACCCCAAATGACAAGTTGCGGTCCTTGCACATTTTGGTCTGCAACCCCTTCTCCAGCACTCTTCAATAATAAAGAAGCCATGACAAACATCAGTTTCCAAGGTCACTCAATGAAGAAGTGACAAGAACATCATAGTCAATTCATTTGCCTTGGGATTCTTTCATTCTTCCAGAAAGCACAGCAACAACTCATATGCAAAACAAAAAAAGAGGTGAATGCGGTCCATCCAAAAATAGCTCCCCTTCATTGTGAGGTTGGGACAGTGTGTAAGGCTGGATTTCCCTATTAAAGGCACTTCCACGCTGGATTGAAATCCTTGAAGCTGCAAGCCTTCCACTGACAAAATTCATTCCCTCTCTTCTTTCTCCACTTGCCATTAGGGCAGAATAGCATTAAAAAGTTCAGCTTATTGCAGTGCCATCATTTTGGAAGTAACTGAGACATTTTGCCCATCATTCAACCCACTCCTCTTTGTTTATTATTCCTCTTTGAGGAATGCTAAACTCTAGTACATGAAAGACCTTAGTGTATCTTGTGAGGAGAATGACAGAAAGAGCAAGGACAAAGGCAATGTAAGGTAGAGCAATCTGATGGACAGCAATTTAAAATATAAATACTTGGAAACCCCTGGCAATTATGGATGCAAAATAAAATGGTAGTTATGTTGGTGATGGCAAGGAGAGGGGTAGATAGTAAAGTAAAATGACAGAAATGTAAATTAGCAAGATGGGCAAGCCCAGTCCAGTAGTGGGCCTTCTTCCATTTAATGAGATCCTCATTTTGTCACTTACTTGAATAAAATCTCCATTTCTCAGTTAAATTTGGCAAATCTACCCATGATGCTCATGAAATGATGGGAGGATGGAGAGTTGTGTGTGGTTTGAACCATCTGCCATGAAGGCTAGTAGAGAATTTACAGCACTTGTTGGGGACATGGTGCTGCGCTGAAGGCCTGAGTCTTATGCACATGTGCATTGTGGTCCAGATTCTAAAGGTCCAGATTCTAGGTCTCTTGGGAACTCATGCCTCCCCCCCTGAGCATATTTTAAATCCAAAATTTGTGATAAAAATGGCAATCTTGGGGAAAATTCACCACAAAACAAACTAAGCTTGTCTCTTGTTCATATCTACCTGCTTGCCAATTTTCCAATTAGTCAGGTCAATATGTTCTTAGTTATTGTTGAACAACTGAAGAGTGACACATGGACAGGATGTGACCATAAGTGGTCCTTTTCCTTCCATGAAAGGAGACCCACTAAAAAACCAACTGCTATTAAACTATTCTTGATGGCAAAAGGTTATTATATTTTTCAAAAGTAACAAAGCATTTATAAATTTTAAAACCTAGCAACATAACACTCATATATGATAAGGAAATGCTGCAGGGAACCATTCTCATCAATTTTACCATATCCACATGATATTTTGATGCCAGAACTGAAGGGAATAATGGGTAATTCTACTGGAAAAACAGCATAAATGCTGAATTTCTTTACACCAATGGAAGAGTGTAGGTGGTATCTCACCAGGGTATCACCTCCAAAGTTGACTTGATGAACAATGCGATCAGAGCGAATGTCGGATCGATGCAAGATTGGTGTTGTTCGTGGTTCAGACCCTTCATGCTCCACAGATGCAGGTGTGCCATAGTTAAGTGGGGAACTCAAGTCCAAATCTTCAAGGGCTGTTTAAAAAAAAAGAATGCTTATATTATTGCCTGGTAGTTCATGCTTTCAGACGCTGGCTGGATGAGTTCAGCAAGGGAATCTCAAACTTCAAACATCAAAGCTCTTTTGCCTCCATAAATTCAGCATACAATAAATGAAAATTCTTACAGGAGTTTCAACAGGGTGATCAAAGGAAGATGGAAGCATGTAGTAGCACTTGCCATTTCACCACTGCTCAAGTAATTTTTCTTTTTGGAATGGTGTATCATCCTTTCTGTAATACTGTTGCATTCAGAAAATACCATGTGACAGAACCTCTTGATAATCTTTCCCTTTTGAAAAAATGAAATGATAAATCTGCTTTTCCCAAACCTGCTATTATAATTTTTAAAAGTTACAAATGTGGGGCTCACATATATAAAGATGAGGACAAGAGACCCTTTTATTATTTTTTTTTTTTAGTGGGAACCCAAAGTAACGTCCTTTTGGCTGATGCTTCCTGGTGAAAACATCTTACTGGCAGTAGAGATTCAATCCCTGTAAACAATTTTCAAGTGCTTTGCAGTCTTTTTTAATGAAAAATTAATCTACTTTATTCACATTGATAGATGGCTAATGCTATAGCATCAATTATGTCAAATTTCAGAAGATACCTAGCCTTTCTGAAAGCTTAAATTCTGAAACTACATAATACAGCTTCTCTCTCTTCTAATCTCATCTAACGCAACTACTAAGGAGTTAATCCTGTCATATTACTAAGCATCAACACAAGTAATTGCCTTATTTTTAAGCAAACAAATTGAACATATTTTCCAACAGCAAGCATTTCTTATTGAAGGGATGAATACTCACAGAGTCCAAGTTGGGCCAATGATGGTCGTGTAATGAGATCTTCAGAATCAGACTGACGTCCTCCATCACTTTGGCCAAACAGGTCAGGCTCAGAGGGCAGCTGTCTGCAATTCATCAGGTGGTAAGTAACAAAAGCAATGAGAAATATAATATCCAAAGGTAATCTAAAATGAATCACAAAAAAGGAAGAGAGAGAATAAATAGAGTAGTATGTTTGGTCAGGCAGGTAAGAAGTTTATTGCCAGCTGGAACCAAAACATTTTCAGACAAAAATGATGCATGAGATCTATGTAACTCCTAAGATTGTAACTTCAGCCACACCACCTTGTTCAACCAGTAACACTTTCAAAATTTTGAAATACAGACTTGAACAGTCCTTGAAAATGTGAAAGAATAGAAATTGGAGATGGCAATGTTACATTTGGATAGCTATAATCTGGCTAAGGGTCTATTAAATGAAAGGGCTACACAGGGATTTACTTTAGTTCAAAATAAACCTCATAGATGAAATTGGCATCAGGTTTTTTTTATTTATTAAAAGCAAATTTGATAGCTGAACTTCCTTTTCTATGGATGAAAATAAGTGCAAATTGGGTAAAATGTAAATCACCAGTCCTGCAACATGTACACATCATGATAAATGTGTAACTGATGCTCATACAAGACACTTCAAAATTTCCCAAGAGCAAAAAAGAATAAACTGATGAGACACTTATACAAGATGGAAATTCTGAGTTTAAAGGATCACCCAACTTGCTTTTTTTGTACATGCTGAAATTTGCCAAATTGGAAGACTACACATTTTTGTAATACTTGGGACAAAACCAATATAGAACAGTCTTACTTTGCTCTTTCCCAGTTTCTGATAATTACCCATTTGAAAGAAATATGTCACATATTTACCACAAAACTCTTTATTTCATGATTTGGCCACCAGACCTCACAAAATGATACCCAAGAATTTGTAATTTATTCACCACCTCTCTCCAATCCCTGCTCTCAAAGGGATAAGGGTCCCAGAATGATGGCATGAATGGCAGAAGGGGGGGGGGTTGGGTGGAGGGAGGTGTGCTGCAACCCTCTCTACTGATGTCAAATTTTTTTTAAATTGGTGTTTTCCCCACCAAGGCACAATTATGTCTGGGCATAAATCCAGTACTGAGAGGTTGGCTCCTTTTGGTGAGGGTCAGCATCTACACATCCCTATGTGAAAGAATTCCACAGACTGAGCTTAGTTGTGGAGTCATGGGGAAAATGCCTCTCTCTAATCTGCACATCACCCATGGCAAAAAGCAGGTTCTGCTTCAGTGGCACATGTGCACTGGTCTTGTCAGTCATGCAATTTGAGAAATCAAAATCACATAGCCAATAATCTCCTCACTCATACTTTCAACTCTTTCATGAAATTACCTTCCTTCAATGTTATAAACAATGTAAAATGATACAGGACATGGCATCAAATGGTCCAATGACTATTAAGCAATGTATCTACCTCTGCTCCCACAAGGGCTAATTTCTCAAAACTCTCACTATATATACAGGGACATGTTTTCAACATATCTTCAAAAGCCTTTCAAATTAATTGCTTTGAGGAAAGGCTGAGCAATAACAAAAAAGAAGACCTATGAACATGCAAGCTCTTCATTGAAATAATTTTTTTGGGCAGGTATTTCCTCACATAATGACTGGAATAAAGCTGAATCAATATCAAAACAGAGTTTGCTTAGAACTTATTCAGATAAATTCACTTGGTCTTCATCATAGAATGAGGTCCTTAAAAGGGATTGAAGTCACCTATCCATTTTCCTTTTCCAATTTCTTTTGAATAGTTGCTCATTGACTTGCTTGGGCAACATTAATTTTGATGAAATTTCAAAGGTCTATATTTAATATCAATATACAAGGGCCAGTCAACCAAAAATAGTAAAAATGATGCATCTTCATGAAATAATGTATAGATCTTAGGTGCAATGGGGTAGAACTGAGGATGTCATTGGCACCAATTGTCACAGATAATACATGCTGTGATCTGGTAAAGATGGTTACCTCCATTGAAGGAGCATTCAAGGAACAGTAGAGGGTTGCAATATAGTTCTTGTGTGGAGGTGTAAAACCATTTGATATCCAACACAGAATAGTTGCAGTTTGTGGGGAGGAATATTTGTTCCAGAGAAGAATAAAGGAAAAATGCAAAATTTTTCATGGCAGATGCCTCTATGTTGAGGACAAACCCAGATCCAGACCAGCCAATGTAATCATTTTGGATAACATTGCAAAGGTGGACATCAGTCATGGGTCTATGTGCATAATCATCCAAGATGGCATCCACTAGCATTTGCTGTGCAATAAACAATAAACTGATACTAAAGTGCCAGACAGAAGACCTGAAGAATGTCTACATGGGTCTTACATCACACTTACAATTATAGAAATTAATGGTAATTTTCATTTGACTGGCCAAAGAATATAATGTAAGTTTCATGAAAATAGTTCATGTGAGCAGAGATATGCATGTTAACCATTTTCCAGTTTTTTTTTTGCAATGAATTGAACCAAAAAGTTCAATTTTTAATTGCAGATTTTGATTCTATAGACTTTGTTTTAACAAAATATGCATGTTAACATAATTTAATTCATTTATTCGGACAACTCAAGAACAAAACATGAGTTGCCCATGCCTCATGTGAGCAAGTCAGTTTTGGGAAGGTCATCCACATCAGTGACAGGCAAATCGCAGAAGCAGTCAAAAGTCTTTTTTTTTCCTTTTTTAACATACCCTGAGTAGTTGGCTTCCATGGTAATTAGATTTAATGATGCCCCTCCTACTCTTATTCAGCAGCCACCATTGAATTAAGACCAGCTGCCCAAGTGAATGACTCACCTTGTTTGATCACGAGTGGGAGTACGGAAGGCTTGCGTAGATCTCCTTGAAGAGGCAGATGAAGGGGTTTTGAGTACACGGCGGGTTGTTGGTGTACTGCCTGATCTACCTCTCCCCGTGGGGGTTTGAGGTGTACGGGGGGTTGTTGGCATACTTCCAGATCTGCCTCTCCTTGTGGGAGTACTTGCAGGAGACCTAGCTGGCATGATCCAACTGGTAACAGGAAGATCAAACAAGCATTCAGATGACTTGAACTAAATAAATGAAATAAAGTTAAACTGAACAGATATGATGCCTAGTTCAAATGTCTGATTATTCACATCATATTTCACTACAAGACTGAATATAGCTTTCTCTGATCCAGAGTCTATTTCCTTCTTAGTAGAATAAACAAAATTCTCGTTAACAGCATAAAAAAGAGTGCTTAGGGATTGCATGCAAAATGGGTATAATGCCTTGGTTGTCTAAAATCCAAATCAAATTGATATCTGAAGACAAAGGCATTCTTGACACCACAGAAGAGAAAGTTCTTTAGCTCCCCATGGCTTTTCTTCCCAGTTCAGCATGAGAAGTGTGCCTAGGGTTATGAATGGAAGCAATATTACCATATACCAGTTGATTACTGGTAAATTACAAGCGAATCCCCTTTTCATGGTTTCTAGATCATTTTGCAGGAAAAATGCATAAAACGATTTGACCTTTTCTTGCCTGAGGAAGTGGGCCTATGAGTTAATGATAATATAATTTTAGAGGTATGAAAATCTCTGGAGCATTTCTTCCAAGTTAAGCTAAGAGATGAGTTATACAGAGATTTCCTGACCTGAGGCTAATGTGTTAATTGTGTTCATTCTGTTTCAATCTGCAATAAATAAACTTGCTACTATGACACCAAAGATAAGGTGTTGCACTTCAGTCCTATTTAACTTGTCTCATTTGTATCAGGGGTTGAGTAACCTAGATTATTTACAAAAATCAGGCATGTTTTAAAATCATTCACAGTCTTGAATGAATGAAAAATATGCAAATGGATAGATCAAAAAGGAACAGTCAATGAATTTGTTTGCCACATGTATTTGCAGTGTCAGGCACACCTTCATTTCTAAATATAGTTCTTCCTTTTGCTCCTTTGTCCAGCATTCCCCTTTACTGAGGTCATCATATATCGTAAGTGGCAGAGGAAGACAACTTTACCTATTCCCTTGTGCCTCACTTTTTCAGCCTGCAAGGAGACCTTCAAGTAAAAAGTAAACTTAATGAGAAGGTCCCAATTTTTGCTGGAATAACACGAACCTGCAGCAATTTTATTTTCAATCCGTACCACCAAATTCCCCATGACGATACTGTACACATCCAGATGTGTACCATGGAATCAATACGAATCCAACTTAAAGGGGGAACGAATTGTCATTGAAATGAAAATAGACTGGTCATAGGCCCATGTCTACGGAAACATACCTTAGCGTAAGCCCGTGTCGAACGTGGAGATTCGGAGGATTAAAACTGCGTCCAATATTCTCAGCAGCAGATGGGCAGTTAGGCTATTGAATAGCCTAAAGGTTTGACACCCTTAGATGAAATTGTCAAAGGCACTGCGCGTTCTCTGTTCTACGTGAGAGGTGGAGAGGTGGTCTACTGCAAAGTTTGGCGGGAAAGTGATGCCACAACTTGGTGCCGCCATTCATGAAATTAATCATCCCAGCGTCGTTTGCTTGATTTGTTTTCCAGTCTTTTTAAAAGTATACCAGTAGAGTATCCTGCAGAGTAGGGCAGATATTAGTTGCTAAATCATATCGTACAGGAAAGCTTGTTCCTTGCCAATTATTTCCTGAATGAATGAGTCCTTCTTTTCTCAGCATCTGTGCGGTAGTCAGCACACACGGCGGTCTCTTTGTGAGCCTGGCACCACGTGGTCTCCCTCCCTTTAAGAGGTTGGCCTTCACGTCGTCGCATCCACTGTCCAAATTCTCCCCAGATGACGGGGACCATTCGAGATCTGGCCGAAAAATTATATGTGTGGTGCTACTGCTATCTTTCTGATATTTCAGATCTGCTTTATCATAAGGAGAAGAGTCTTAAGAAGTTCCGAGGAACATCACCCCAGGTTAGGTTTGACTTCAGCTCATAGGCATAGGCCTTGTGTAACAGACTTGAATTGCTTTATTCAAACGAACATGCACTTGTAAGGAAAAAAACCGTCTTCTCATCTCATCGTAGGATGTGACCATACTCCCATACTCGTTATGAAGGCATAGAATCCATTAGGGCATTGACTTGTAGCATTCGCTCCTTCCATAACCAGCTTTAGGAGGTGGTTAGGTGCCTTAGACAAAGCTAGAAAAGGATACATTATAGCCACAAGCAACAACCTGTGGATGGCTATACTTCCACATAAATATTGAACTTATAGGAGTACCCTAAACTCATGAATGTGGGACTCTTACCCAGAATGTTAGTATAAGCAGAAATGCCCTGAACCTTAGTAATTACTAAAGCGATGAAATGAGCCTGGAGATGCCATTGGAGTTTCTCATTGCTTCAGTTATTTGGAGGTGAGATTTAAAAAAGCGAACATGGAGGTGGGAGGCAATGTCATTATTACCATCAACCCCCACATAGGCTCACACCTGTCAGATTGCACCTCAGGTGCTTCCATGAATTTTGATCTTGGAAAGTACCATTTCTTTCCATTTCATTTATGTCTCAAATTCCCACTTGTCTCATGAATGCCTGTACTCCATCTCTCCAGCGTCTTCTTTGTCTTCCAAGTAGTTTATTTCCACTTGGTGTCCATTGGAAAGTTGCTTTGAGGATCCTGCTATTATCCATCCATTCAACATGTACCAGCCATTTCAATTAGGCTTCTTTGATTATGTTGATTAGAGTGTGGACTTCAAGGTTGTTATGGATGATCTCATTTCTGACTTTGTCTCTTCCAATCTTTCCTGAAATCAGTCGGAGAAGTCTAATTTCCACAGTTTGAATTCTGCTTCTATTCTTTCCTGCATAAAAATTTCATATAAGACCTTATATGAAATGGCCATATATTTAGCCAGTCTAACATATATGGAGCATATATGACCATATAGTACAATTCATATATGAAACAAGTCACATAAAATCATATAAGAGTATAAATTTTATGACCCCTTACATTTTCATATATTGGCTCATACAAATGCACCATATACTGTCCATATATGACATGTCATATCTACATATGATGAAATTACCATAAACATGCTTGTATCCAAAAAGGTCCATTATCCATCAAATACTGTATAATCATTCATGTGGAAGTCACCATACTTTGCTTGCAATCGACTCATTTCTAATTGTTCATAGACCACAGTCAATTTCTCCAATAACTCATATTTCATGGTGTTCAACATATGCACCCTTCAATCGATAAGTAGATCGCTCAATCCAATTGTTTAATTTATTGAGCTCCTAGTTTCCACTGAATGCAAGGGATGGAAGATAATAAAGGCCTTCATTCTCAGCTTCCTCGCGAGGCTCTCACCTCTTTCCGCATNATATTATAGACTTTAACCTTCACAAGTATTTTCATCAGTAATGCTATTTCATGACAAAACTTGGCTTACTCATGTAGGAGTGTCTTCTTCATTTTGACTGACAACTCACAAAATAGATGGGAACAAAAACTGTATTTCTTTCTGAAATAATCCAATGAATTGTTCAATGATGGCATGACACACTATGTGCCCCCCACTTTACAACAGCAAAAACATGTTAATAATAATGAAAAGAAGCATGAAATGCATGATAGCAGTGTCCCAGAGTTCCTGTGACCCCTCCCCCCCCCTCCACACTTTTTCCATCTCTCTGATGCTCTGTCCCCCTTTGGCCGAAATACACCACTGACCTCATGCTGTTTTACTTACAACCATAAGACTTTCTCTATGGATATTCACCACAAATCAGACATGATGGCATTTTTCCATCACACTTAATTTTGAAATGCAGGTAAAATATATTATACACCATACAATTGTTCATATATGAATAAATAGATGGTGGTATATGCCAAATATATGATCATACATGACCATATAGAATAATACACCCTGTCATATATGGAATTTTCATGTGGGTCGTCATTATTTTCCATGTCTCTGCCCCATATATTAATACTGGGACCAACTTAGTTCTATAGATAGTAATTTTGGCCTCTGCTGGGAGGTTCTTGTCTCTCAGTAAAGGGTATAGAAATCCAGCCTGCTGACAAAATTTTTTTGTTCTTTTAGTTATCTCTGCTGAATTATCTCCTGTTTGTCACTACTACTCTCAAGTATTTGATGGTGGCTACTTGTGGTAGTGTATTGCTTTCTACACTTATTTGGGGATGTTTTCTCTCTCAACTAAGAGTTAGGATTTCCATCTTGGTGGAATTGATCTTCTTTCCTGCCTCAGTGAATGACTGGTGCCATCTGTCCATTGAGCATTGGAGTTCTTGTGCTGAGTTTTCCCAGTGGGCACGGTTTTCACTTCCATGTCTTCTTGATTTTCGTTCACTTTCCAAATGACTTTGTCCATGTAGGTGATGAAAAGTAGGGGTGATATGACACTCCCTTGCTTTACTCCGCTTGTCACCTCAAACCACATGTTGTTTGTGTGCCTTGTTTCAACCAGGCATATCCAAGGGTGCACATATTCTCAATAGCTTTCAATAACTTTCCCTGAATTCCATTTTCCTTCAGGCACCCTCATAACTTACTTCTTGGTATTGAATCAAAAGCCTTTTTGAGGTGTATGAAGTTGAAAAACATATTGTATTGCATTCCCATGCTTTTTCCATAATTTGTCTCAAAGAAAAAATGGGTGTCCTGTAAATCCTATCCTAATGTCCTCATCGTGGGAAACTAGGCAACGTACAAAGTAGAAATATACAAGCCGTGGTTAAGTCCCAGCTCGGACCTCAAAACAGATGACCAATTAGGGATCTGGTGAAGTTATTGACAGGCCTTTCATGCTGGATGGGGGAAATTTCTGAAAATCCTGAGAAATTTCAAATTTTTTTGTTGTAGGTTTATCTATAATGTTATGATGTCACTGGTTTTTTTTTTGCATGTGCTTTCCATTTGCACAGTGGGTGAGACTGTGAAAATTGGACAAACTTCAAATTGAAAAATGTCCCCAGAATTATGATTTTGCTCCTATTATTTAGGTAGCTATAAAAGAAAATGAATGTATTTTGTGCTCTCATCTCTTACATGATTCCCACATACCTGAACTTTCCTTTTTCCTCATTAATTACTATTTTGGAACCTTGTGTGATATACAGAATGTGAGGATATATATCAAACTTGCAGTAAAGATGGCCACTTTTAGGAGGGACTCAACAGAGTAGTTGGTTTCTTTCAGCATACCTGAGATATTACCATGGGATCAGTTTTATGGTCTCTATAAAAATGATTCTTGATCTGGTAACTTGATGTGATGCACTGCATTGTGCCTGAGCTATCACCAAGCAAAATGCAGCAGCAATTACTTCAAGGACAAATCTCATTTCAGGAAATTGCTAACTATTGGAATTCTCCCTTGATAGTTTTGTTCATGTTTTCATGGCATCTGACCCAATGTGAATAGCTACAAGCTGAACTGAGCTCTGCTTTCAATATCAGCATTTTTCAATGCATTTTTGACTCATGCTCTGCTTCCTGCTTATGTGCCTTTTGCATGTTACTCGCTTGCAGCTTCAGTCCCGCCCTTCTCTGATTGAATGGATCTTCCATGTGGCAGAAGACCTGGGCCTAAGCAAGAGAGCTGTTCATCTGGCCATATATCTATTAGATCACTTCATGGATCGACATAATATTAAACCATCGCACCTTCAGCTTGTGGCCTTGGGATGCATCCTTGTGGCAGGTGGTTTTGGCTTCCTAGCATGCTTTGCACCTTTTATGGCTAATGTGAATGCACCCTTTATTCTCTCACAGTCACTTTAAGGCAAACATTTTCAGTGTGTTCTTATGTAACTTCCTGCTTATTTTAGTGAAATATGAGCATGGGGATGTATGCTCCTTTGGAACCATGAATGACTATGCCACTGAGAAATACCCACTGAAGGACATCAAGCACATGGAACTCCTCATCTTGACATTCTTTGAATGGGATCTGACTATGCCAACAATAGCTGAATTTGCTGAATTGTTCATGAGATCTGCTGTTACCATTGGTGATCTGTTGCATGGAAAGAAGATCTCTTGCATGGTTGTGACACAGAGAGCTCTTTTGGATCGCTTCTCATTCTTCTTAACTGCAAGCCTTGAGGGTATGTCAACATACATTGGTCATGAGATATAGCATCAAATTTAAAAAAGATTCTATGTTTTCAGGACTGCATGTATTTTAAATATGCACCTTGATGTATATCTGCTCCTACTCTATAGAATATGATGGGGAGGTGTGAAAAATGTTCAGATTGTTTCATGGAAAACCATGTAGGAATCTATGTTGAATTCTAATCCTGTCTGTTTAGGGAAACTTAACTGCTCATAGAATAAGGATGTCATAAAAAAAAGTGTGAAATCAAAGGTGTCGTATATCATGGATGGAACAATCAAGTTGTAGCAGAAGTGCCAGAATTATTGATATTCTGAGCATGCTCTTAACAGGAAATGTAAGAATCTAAGTCACCAAAGTGTGGCCAAAATATGACTTTAAATATGAAAAATGATTGGATCATTGCCTATCAATGTGCAAGATTCACATTGCTGTTTCAGCACCATGAACCATGTCTGTTCCCTTGATGAATTAACTTTGAGCTCCCTGATATTGAAGGAGAAACTTTGGGAAGGGAGTAACATTTTTGAGCACTGGACCAATGTCATGCATGACCAGTTGTTTTCATCTCACCCTTCACTCTTACTCTACCCTGCTCTTCAAAATCTCAAGTGCATAATTAACCTGAGTCTCTCCTACTTCACTGTGCTCAAAAGTCAGGGGTCAGGTATGTTTGACAGCGGTAATTGGGACTTGCCAAGATAGTTTATTGAGAGGCTATATTCTTTTTAAATAAATTTTATAAACATGGCCTAAAATGACTGCTTAGAAGTTTCTTGAAGCAGAGGATGTTTTAAAATCTATAATCAAAGAAAAAGAAGGTATGCAGATAGTGGGGGAGTAGCTGGCCCTCATTCTCTCCTGTTGCCAAGCTTTATGGCTAAGTGACTGATTTTCCTTTAGATTTTTCCTTGACATCTCATTCCATTCAACAAGTTCTCTATTTTGAAGCCCATGGGCCTGCAACCTACTATCTGTGCATCTCCAATCACCTCTGATTTGTATCATGGGCCTATAAGTAAACTGAACTTATTTGTAGATAATTCAAAAAGTATGCTTTCCCATAACAGGTGGGTTTGACTGGGTACCAAGAGGGATGGGAGGGTATTTAATGAACGAGGAAGAAAAACGGTTAATGAAGTTCAGCTAGGGTAAATGTAAGGTTCTTCACAGCAGGTTAATGGTGAAACTAAATAGGAAAGGAAACCATAGGAATGTGAATGTGTTTGTTCATGGTGTTAACACCTTGAGCCCTGCAGCTGTCATATGATGTCCTACACCCATAGTGCATTCAAATTGCCAGGGCTGAAAATGTTAATAGGGAGGCATTATTATTATTTGTTTATTATTATTTGTTGGATTATTTGTGAGGATCTTAAGCTTTGAGAGAATAGATCATTAAAGGTAGCAAAATGTAGTAAAACCCTGGGGTTTGCCTTGCTTTCAATTAGCCATATAAGAGCTCTCATGTTATTTTTGACTGTATACAGCACTGGTTAGACCTTCTTTAGAGTATTGTGTTCTATTGAGAAGGCTTGCTAATTATGGGGCTTCTGCTAATAATGGAGATGGGCTGCTAAATTAATGAGGGAATTATGGAGCTGTTATATAATCAGCAATATCAGTACAAACACCTTTGCAAAACCCTAAGTAAGGCAAGTTGAGTAATAACATTTTTTACCTATCAGGTAATTTAAGCATGGAGTGCTTTTGGTGATGTAGTCACTGGCTCTTTTTGTGAATAGCTTCAAAAAGAGATTCCTTAATGGGAAATTGTATAAACATGGCAGCAATATTGCTGTATGTAAGTAGACAGTAGATAGACACATTCCCTCATTAATAAACAGGGTGGTGCAAAAGTTGTCCACCATAGGGAATTTCACTGTTGCACTACATTAACTCTTGTTTCTTTCTTTGTAGGTAAGTGATGGCTGCAAAATTAACAAAAGATGAGAAGGTCATGTTAAGATATGTTCAAACATCATGTGTACAGGGAATTGAAGTGCTTTCAAGTTTATGGCAAACTATTAGAACATTTACTGTAATTTACCTTATGGTGTGCTACTTTTGCGGCACCCTGTATATTTTTTTTTCAAGAGGGGTAGGCCTATCTTAGATGTGAAGGAGTAGGAAGAGTAATTGGCCTTGATTTAAGGTGTCAATGTGGAATGACTTACCTCTTGACATCATTGTGCAAATGTCATGAAGTTTGGAATGGAATGTCTCCAGGCACCTTTCATAACTTGATACCAATACATGGGTAAAGCAATATATGGGGTGCTGGAGTCATTTAAAAGTGTTTCAAGCTTATATGAAGAAAAGAAAAACCTATCTTTTGCAGATGTTCGATACCTGGATGCCCCACCATCTGTAGTAGCAAGTGCCTGCTTGGCTTGTTCTCGGCAGACTCTTGGAATCACACCCTTATGGCCAATGCGGATGAGGATGCTGACACGGCATACCTCTAATGATATCCGCCCTTTTGTCCTCATTCTACTCCAGTGAGTACTGGTACCTATCATTAGTATTTGGAGTTCTGGAAAATTCCTTTCCAATGAGTGCTTGGAGTCTTCTAGTCTCTCCAGATGCTGCTTGTCTTATGAGCATGATGGAGCTCTGTAGTATCACTCTGGTTGACACTCCTTATGAATATATGCTTTTTAGGTAAAGTTCTTTTGCCATGCATGATGCTGATAGCATCTCATCATCTGCAGTTTTCCTTTTAAAATTTAGGATGAAATGAATTTTTTTTTACAAGTCTATATATCATAGAACCAACAATTGACCTCATTGCATCAATCATTTCATGATATGGTCCTATGCTTCAGCATGTTACCATAAACCCCCCATCAAAGCAATTCTTGCTTTTGCACAAGTCATCAAATGAGGATATGATATGGTATGGAAGCTTTGCAGTGATTACAAAAAAAAACTCCAGTAATATTTGCTCTCCGGAAAGGATGTTCACCTGGCCTGAGTTCATTTGACTGGAACCTTTAGGAAGTCAAGGTTTATTGAAGTGGATCTTTCACTTCCCAAAAAATGGCCAGTTTTCTCTGTCTTTTTCACTAACTTTATTGCTTTTCTTATTGCAGAACATGGAGCAGATACAATAGCCAGAATAATTTGCACTCACTACCTTTCAACAGAGACAGGTATGTCTAGGAAACATCTATGATTTATGGCATGATGTCTCACCATAATCCAGTTAATTATGAAGGTTCTTTCTTGGACAGGGAAATGGATCAAGCACCTTGTGAGGGAACTGCTGCATGTCAATCATCAAACTCAGGAAGGTTGGATACTAACTTTTATCTCTCACATTTGCACAGTAAGAAGCATGTATAATTGAACTCATTAATTTTTGGCCCAAATTCAGGTCCCTACACTCTAGTAATCCTTCTCCTGACACAGGCTATGGATCAGATGGCTTGGACTGATCAATGGCATTGTTAGCTAAATTCTGTTCTGCAGAATTAACTAAATGTGATTTGGTGGTGGTATCATTGGGTTTCCTTTTGTTCCTTTTTGTCATTCTTGTATGATGATTGTATTGTATGATGATACCTTTAATTCCCTTTGTTGAAGATATTATGGTGCCCCCTTCTCTTCCTTACCTATGTCATGTCTGTTGTATAAATGTATTTCTTGTATTTTTGTTAGATGTGAGTTACCATCCATGTGCATTCTCTGTGATTCAGTAGTCTTTGGTAAGATTCATTACCAGTGTCAAGATTGATGATGATAACTGTCCTGGCAAAAGATATATATCTTGTTATGATTTCTTACTTGTACTAGCTGTGATGAGTTCCGTGATCACTTTCTTGTCAAATAAAATTATATTTGTTGATAATTTCTCTGCTATTTTCCTGTGCTTTGCTTCCCTAGCATTGGATGTGAATGTAATTTGTTTATTATTTTGCCTATGATTGATAGTATATAGTAACCCCATGTGCACTTGGGGGGTGACAGTCAATTTTAGTTTGAACAACTATGGTTTAATAAGGAGTACAAATCCCATGCAGTTCCCTAGCTCAGTCAGCAATCAGAAGCCTATCAATTTCATACATGTAAATGACTTGACAATCACCTATTTTCAGCAGGAATAGATCATAAAACTAACCTCTATGCAGGTCCATTCTTTTCAGGACTCAACAATTGCTTTATAAGACTGAAGAATTAATCCATATCAGAGCCATTATCAACCCAGGATTTTGGTAAATAGTAAAATATTAATGAAAGTTAATGGAAGTGGATTTACCTTCAGGATTTCTGGAAATTATAGTTGTCCTCAATTTCCTGGAATCCATGCATAACCCACAAAATGTCCTTTAACCTTTAAAAGGCAGATTTAAATGCCATAAGTGAAGCCTGCCTAGCAGGTTTTATTGGCGTCCCTTTACATACGTTGCCATGACAACAGCCATCATTACTGTCCTAATGAAAGGAAAGCTATGCAGATATGGGTGTCCAAAGTGAAGAAGTACGTACTCCGTTAGTCCTGGGATTGAGGAGATCCCAGTAGCAAGTCTAATATTTTTTTTTTGGAACTGTGTGAATCCCAGTCACAAGTTAAAGGTTAATGTGTTATGTCAGGACAGTTTTGCCCTAATTAAAAGATAAATACAATTCTAAAAAAGTTTAATATCTAAAATTTTAACATATATTAAATGTGTTCAGCTGCAGTTTTGATCAGAAAAGCTCAGAGTTTTTATTGAACTTTTGAACTATTGAACAACTTTACTATTTCAACTCCCTACCAAAAGCAATCTCCATTTCCATTGTACCCTTTCTGTTGCTTTCACATTAGTGCTATTGATCTGACAATGCCTTGTATAAACATAGAACTACTACTTTGCCATTGCCCACCAAACTGTGCTGGATGTGTCTCTAAATTCTACATTTGGAAGTTATAGATACTTGTGCATGAAATTTCATGTACTCACCAGCTGTAACATTCTGATCTATTTTAGTCCCCTCATTAATTAGCGAATCAATTTGTAACCCCCATCAGCTAGCGAATCAATGTAGGTATCTAATGAACCTAATGAATATGAGCAGATCATATAATGATTCTTGAGAAGTCTTACTTACTGCTTCATTAACTAAGGAAATATTTACATGAATCCTAACGCTTTGCATTTTTTTGTTACCCAGTTGTGTTTCTTTCATCTCTGTAGGGTTCTGCTTATTGACCATCATGACGAACTATTTCAATGGATGAAAGTTACATGAGCCTAAAGTCGGGAAATAATTCATCGTTCTTATACATCCATATGGACGATATAGAGGCATGTTTCAGGTGGCGCAAATAAAAGTTTCTTGGGTGAGGCTTGATAAAACTTGTAGAAATGCTATAATTTTGTTATAAATATTTAGTATCACATAGGAGACGCTCTAAAATTTGTTTTCATGAAAGTTTTGAAGTCTCTGGATTGTTTTGGATAGAGAGCAACCGTCGTTGAAAATTCGATAAGAAAACTCGCTATTCCTCTCATCAGGAGGCAGTGATTTCAGCAGTACTCCACAGATACTTTGCCAAAACGATTGCTTGTTATGGCAGTATTCTTATTGCAATGTCCTTGACTGTGCAGTGTTACCATGTCGTATCTTTTAAAAATAAAGTCTGTGCTAAAGCGATGTTTTTAAAGGAAGCCCTGGGAAGGAAGAGACTTCACAGAATAGAGTCCCTGATTTGATGAGAATTTCCCTATTTTCTTCCATCTCTAATACTTATACTCTAAACACACCATCGAATTCAGGCCTTACCTTCTCACCAGAGGCCCAAAGACACTATACAACAATAATACTATGACGAGGACACAACATGAAAAGCAGCCCTCATGGCTCAAGGAGATAAATCTTTTGAGAGATTAGAGACTGCATCCACCTCATGCGTGGAAAAATTACATTTTATGCCTGTACTTTGAATTACTGTCGCTTTTCATTCGGACAACCTAGACTCTTCAAACTTACATGAAAATTTGTTTTTATGTTACAAAAAAATTACGAACCTTGAATTTCCACGGTCGATTTCATAAGATGTCAAGCAGGATGCTTTTTTCGTGCTCTACCTGATATATTCCAAGTTTCCCAGGACGCAACACGTATGCTCGCGTCCAATCGCGGGTTTCCAAAATAAATGAATTTTTTACTTGCTACAGACCGCTGTTTACGGCTATATCGTGAAAGACTGTGAGGAATATCGAGAGCGGAGTGTTGGGTTTCCCTCATCAGTTTCTTGAGCTGGAGCAAGTGCCTCTTTCCATTAAAAACTCAGTCCAGTCCGTGAAAATGGGTAGAAGAGCCGCTAATGCTTAGAGAGAATTTTTCTCCCACCAGCTCGCCGCCTGTTGCTTTTGCACCTCTCCCCTAGCCTCAGCTCCAAAGTATATCAACTTTGAAATGGGATGAAAATACGAAGAGCCAGGAGCACCTCTAACGTTCGACAACCGTGCCATAAACCCTTTTTTGCTTTTGACGCTTCTGACCAACGCTGCTTGCTTGTGTGTGAGACCATGTCTTGTGAAAAGAAGTTACGAGGATTGAAATGACAAAATTCAAATTTATTTGTGCTCCACCTGAATATAAATTATAAATAATATCCGACCGTTCTCCGTGGAAGTTTTTTTTTTTTTTCAAAGTACAAAGGAAACAAAGATTTTTCAAGATTATTAAGCCACCAATACACCAGCACCACTTGCTTCCATCTTCAATAGGGTCCAGGGTCTCCAGATCGTCATCGAGGTCATGATCCTCATTTTCTGCAACAGATCCAATCAGATATGGGCACAACATCTTATTGGTGGGCTTATACACGGGAATGTACTCGGCTGCCAGTTCGTTCTCAATGACGAGTAGTACATGAGAGTACTTCCGCGTAATAGGGTGTCTCCATTTTCATACGAGTGTGCAAAAAGAGTGGAGGGTACTTTTTCGCAAGTAACTTTCATGCAAACGTGCTCGCGTAAGAGATCGCCTCCAGGTACGATACATATCCGAGAGAATGGATCCATAAAATAGGATTCTCCTTTATTTTCATGCCAGCATGCAAAAAGACAAGAGAGCACCGGTTGACGAGTAACTTTCGTGCGAGTATGTACGCGTATGTGTGCTCACCCTATCGTCTCATCCTGGAGATTTATTGATTATGCATTTTCAGAGAATATATACCAATATGATTTGAGAAGACAAGAGGCCCGAGACCCATCTCTTGCGTCATTTAGATCTTAACAATATTCTATTAATCTACGAACAAATAAGTTTATCTGGCAAGCATTCCACATGTAGATGCAACGAATTCCACCGAACTACGAAGAAAAAAGAAGACAAAGTCCTATATGTAACTGCTCTCAAAGAACAATGAATATTGTTTTCTTCGCTTCCTACTTGAAAGTGATATTAAAAGATCTAATGTGAGCTCACGGATATGTATCTTTGGAGCTGTGAGTTTCAAATAGTCAAATTTTATATTTGGAATGTAGTCATCTTTTTTTTCGAGCTACCTGCAGCTTGCAGCTTAAGCTTTGATAGCTATAATCGAGTTGCCGTATGATACACTCCAAGTATGAGTAAAGTATGGTTGACTTAAGTGGGAGGGTGGAATTTCATTAAATTTATGTCAATGCCTTCTTGTTGAGGAACGTGGATCATCGAGAGCGAAATAGGTCCATGCTCCAGTCCATGCAACTTAATCCCCGAAGTGATTTAGTCATATATATGTACCAGAATTGCAGGTGCGTAACAACCTTGAGCAGCTTCATCAAACTGCGTGGAAACTTTATTGTTGCATTCACTCAATGTTGTAGAGCAGCAACATTCCCCACGCTTCAGTCTCAACATTGCGGTCCACTTCAGTTGACTACAGAAAGCAGCAGCCGAACAGAAGGAACTCAAATGAAAAATGCTTATATAGCCAGGGGATGTTGATACATCATGGAGGATTAAAAGTCCCCGTCGGGTCTTCCTTTTGAGGCTTTAAGGATTAAAGGTCAACTTTTGCACTTTTTATTTAGGGGAGAAGAGGTGCTGTCCGACCTCTCTCAGACGATTTCCCTCACTCACATTGGTGCGTCTGCGATGAAATTCGATCCCCTGGGGTTTCCTTGGAAAACCAAGCTAGTTGTCGTGGGGATGCAGTGCGGATGAAGTCCAGCCGTTTTGGGATGACCGATTGAGCGAGGAGGGACAGGGGTTCATCCCATTGAGTCCATGCATCTGCGGTCTGATAGCACTGAGAACGACCCTTCGGATTCTCCTTCGCCTCTTCGAGCATCCGTCGTAGTCCGACCGTTTGACTCGAAATCAGGCGTCTGACTACCCGTGCATGGCGTCGAGGAGCCAGGACCCCCAAAACCTCCTCTTTCGTCATTTTCCCAGCAGATAAAGTCGAAACGTCCGGCTGGCTCCTCCTCATCCTTATTCCCTCCAAATCAAGCCTAGCGTTATCAATCGAAGGTTTGAGAGCCGTGTCGTCTTGCAAAGGTTTGGGAGCTGGATTGTTATTCGAAGGCTTGGCAAGCATGGGGACGATTTGCCTGAGATTGTTCGAGGCCAGATTGAGTGGGCTGTTACCAAGGTCTCCCTGTGCGAGCTTTCTCACCGTGAAGCCAGTCCCAGAATTGCTTTGCAACATCGGATTATATAGGTTTTTCGATGTTATTGGGATACTTGGGGCATTCATGACGACAGGAGGGGTTGTGAACGAGCTCTTCCTCTCATTGCCTTTATTGCCTTCAGCTTTGGCGGACGTTCCCTG